AGAGCTGCACCATATTTCATGATATAAATTTGTAGAATTTTTTTAAGAGAATTATTTAATCACGTGTTCCCAATAATTAATAATACATTATTTTCTCATTTTAATTCATTAATAATTTATGTCATAAAATAAAATTTAATTTATAGTCATAAAATAGTCATAATTTATAGTCATAAATTTATAGTCATAAATAAAAATTTATTTAATTTATAGTCATAAATAAAAATTTATTTTATAAAAGCTTGTTTATTTTATTCAATACTTGTTCTAAAACGGAAATTCTTAAATTCCTTTTATATATACATTCACTTTGTAACTGGTAATAAATTTGTTTCCTTAGAGTCAGTGTAAGGCCTTTATCTCAAAACATCAAGAAGACTTCTCGCCGCGCTAATGACAGCCATTACCCATTGTCGTCAGGGGTGCACGGACCCTTGTCCCCTTAGGCAATGGGGGTTGGAAGACGTACAAAAATACGGGCTAGACGTTTTTGGCGCATTTTCCCACTATTTCAAAAACATGGGAAGATCCATTTTCGAGGGTACATTTAAACTAACAATAATCCGTAACGAACCATTAAGAGACCTGCATAAAAGAACGAGAAAATCCGGGCCAAACCGTTTATGGGTTAAGTGACTATCTTGATGTTTTGATTGTGCAATTTGATACAAGGGCGGCGTGATGGATTTGTACCTGCCCTAGGGATGACAAGTGCCGTGGATTTCTCAGTGGAAATTTTGAGTTTTAATGCAGTGCACATGTTTTCGAATATGGTACATATTGCAGTCCCATTTCTTTCTAATTCTAATTCCTTCCGTGTTCGTCCCTTGACCAGCAGAGCGACGTCGTCTGCGTAAGCAACAACTGTAGTATCTGTGGCCAGTCAGCTTCCAGCACAGAATTGAAAGTTAGGTGTTCCAAGAACCGTCCGGCGGAGGAGCCCTAGAGGCATCCTTGCTCCTGGCTTTTGGTGGTTGTGCCATTGTTGTTGGAAATTAAAAAGCTTCGGTTCTCCAAATAGCTATTAAAGGTGTTAAGGATATTTGCTGGGCAGCGTGCGGTTCTGAGGGCTTTTTTTTATAGCAGGCCACTAGAGGGTGTCGAATGCGCTCTGCAGGTAGATGGAGATGAAGGCCGTATGATATCCCGTAGCTCTGTTGCGTTGTATAGTGTCCCGGAGAGCATGTGTGGTGGAGAGGGTTCCCAGACAAGAGCCCACTGGACGAAAGCCCACGCGACAAAAGCCCACTATGATAATTGCCCACGTGACAAATGCCTACAGCGATGAAAGCGCACATTGATAAAAGCCCACGTTGATAAAAGCTCACATAGATATAAGCCCACGCTGATAAAAAAAGCACACACTGATAAATGCGCAAATGATCAAAAGGGACTCATGGTTTTTATTACTATAAAATGTATTTATAATTTTAATTATAATAATGGAGTATTCAGATCTGAATTTAATGTCTCAAATATATGTCTGTTTGTATATTTTATCACTACTTTATTTGTTTAATTTTATTAGGTTGAAAGCAATCTTCTGCTTCTGATTGATTAGCTATAACATTTCGATGATAAATCTGAAATTGCCATTTTATTATTTTTACTTATTTAACTTTGGTATTTGTATGTGAAAATGAAAAATATCGTTGTGAAGTTTCTCACGTGCTATTTTAAGGTAATATGGCTGAGATTAAATATAATTATGTTTCATTATTAAATTAAAACTATTAACTTTTTAATTAAAAACAGTTGAATTTTATTTTCTTCCTTTTTAGTTTTTCCTTTAGTCCCTTTCATTTCCTTTTTAGTTTGGTAATATTAAAACAGTTAAGCACAATGAAAACTTCGCTAAGAGATATCTTATTCTTTACTTTATACTGAGCTTATTATCAAAGTTTAAACATATATCTCATTGAAAGCTTTTTTGAATGTAGCAATTATAATTTTGCGATTTTCTAGAAATATTTTCTTTCAGATTTCTGAATAAATTAAAACTGTCAGCTGACACCCTGTCAGAAAATGAATTCCAAGTGTAACCTCTTAATCTTTCAACTATATCAATTTGGAATATTGTTTTTAATTTTAATTTTATTTATTTTTAGGGGGGCGGATGGAACAACTCTTAGAAATCAACAAGTCTACAAATTTAAGTAGTACAACCATCTCAACCTCTAGTAATAAATATATAGTATTTCATTAGAATTTGTGAAGTTTACAAAGAAATATGCATATAATAACATCTAATAAAATTTTGTAACTACATGAATATATACGATCATCAGACTCAATATTCATCGTTTTTAGATGATAAGTATACATATTATATAAATTCATCATTCATTAATAGTATTATGTATAGTAATATAAAATTAGTATTTAATGTTTCAAATCGCATTTTTTTAATAATTTGTCTTGCACTTACTGTATATTTGTTCAAGACTTATAGATATCAGTTATAAAACAGGAAAAATACACACAAAGCAGCTAATCTTTTATAACAGCTAACAAGTGGGATTGAAATTAATTTATGTAAAATCCAAGTTGTCAAATTTAACTAGATTATTTGAAACCGTGCTTTTAATTCACTATGAAAACAGTACTTGTGATAGCGCACACAAATGTTTTTTTAATCACAATAGAATATGGTACTTTTATCTTTCTCGTTTAAATAAAAGTTCGGCTTTATTTCAACTTTTAATTCTCCATATTAACTTCATTATGTGCAAAATTTTCTGCAGTGTTAAATTAGTCATAAATTATTCTCTGTATATGATGAAAATTTACATACATTTTATACTCCTTATAATTTTGTAGAATTAAAGGAAGCAGTGTTGCCAGTATTCCCTTTCAACTCCCTTTGTCGGACTTATAGGAGGGCACTTCCATTTGTCGCGTAAAAATAATAACAAAGTTACACATACCTGTAAATGTTTATAATTACATTATTTTGATTAACTCTCTTAATTCAGCCGGAGACCAAAATGAAATGTGTTCCTCTACTTAAATTTATTGTTCAATTATTTGCTATTAATATAATTTATTTTTTATTTTATCTTTATTCATGAATCTACTTTGTGCAGCTGAAAAATGGGAAAAAATATTCATTTTAACGTAGCTTATATATTGGTGTGGGTTTTTGTCAATGTGGACTTTTATCAACGTAGGCTTGTACCTATGTGGGCTTTTATCAATGTGGGCTTTTATCTCTGTGGACTTTTATTAATGTGCGCTTTCATCGGTGTGGGTATTAGTCGCGTGGGCAATTATCCTAGTGGTGTCTTTTTTGTGGGCTTTTGTCGCGTGCGCTTTTTTCCAGTGGACTTTTGTCGGGTCACCGGTGGGAAGACGTGGTCGGAATCCGAATTGACTTGAGCTGAGGAAGTTGGTCGCGTGCAGGTGATAGGTCAGCCGTTGGACAAGTAGTTTTTCATAAATCTTACCCATTGCGGATAAAAGGCAGATGGGCGATAAGAGTACGGATCTTGTGCGCTTTAATTTTTCTTTAAGAAGAGAACTACTGGTCCTTGTTTGAAGGCCTGTGGAAAAATTTGTAGATGAAGAAGTCTATTGAAGAAACTGCTAAAGAATGATGGACATGCAGTATAAGCCACCATAGTCGAGGCCGTCTGGGCCTGGTGCCTTTTTGCGCGGGAGAAGTTTGAATACGTGTCTAATCTCACTGCTACTGAAGGGAATATCATACGAGGTGGTGGGAGTGCTTGCATTTTCGCGGATGATACGCTGTGAGGACGTGTCCTCCTCTGAGTTGTCATCAGGGAATATAGTGCTCAGGATTGTGCTGGCAGTGTGTTCCGCTATGTTGGTATTATCGGCCATTGATGGAGTCTGGATATGGATCTGTGCCGGGCAAAAGACTGTGCCGGTGGTAAGTTTGTGGAGAATGCCATATGGGTTATTATTAGCTGTACAATAGTTCCTCCAACTAGCAATTTTGGCTGTTAGAATATTATTTTTGTAAAGGGCTCTCTCTCTCCTGTATGCCAGCAACATTTGTTGTCTAATGCTGTTGTATGCAGTGTTGCGGATGCGACGTCTAAGGGCTCTGCATTTTTGTCGCTGTGTGCGAAGCTCCTTGGTCCACCACAAGACTCCTTGTAGTTTTTTTCGCGGACCGGGTGGGCAGAATGTTGTGGCATATGTCTTTCAGTGTCGCTAGGAGTTGATTGGTGAATAATTCCATGTCGGCTGAACTGTTAATGCTGTGAAGTTTTCTTTCTTCGTTATGTAAGAGGATGGAGAAGGAGGAGGTGAGGTGCCGGATCTTATTGCCTGGGAGCTTAAACCTGGTAATAACAGAAATGGTGGTGTCGCAGCCGATAGAGAAATGTATGTACTTATTGTACTTATAGTCTGAGTTACTCTCTTCTTCGTTTACTGTACAGTCTTGAATTGTATGTGCGATGTTGTGCGTGCAGAGAGGGAAGTCTTGCCAGCCAGTATTGTAGGAGTTATCGTAAGTGGGTGGAGTGTCTGGAGTGTTGAGGAGATGGAGGTCATGGCAAGCCAGAAAGTCTTCCAATTCTTGGACCTTTGCTCTAGTATCCGCGTAGCCCCATATGCTGTTATGGGCATTAAAGTCACCACCTACAAGAATCGGAGTTGAGGGATATCGTTGCATGATATCAAGGACGTTGGTGGTGAGATTCACAATATCTTCAGAAGGTGGTGATACTAGATACACAGGGTACAGAAAGAGGCGCAGCCAACCATCCACCTGGGTATTCGATCGCTTCCCTGGCCTGCACGGTCTCCAGATCTGTCACCCATTGAAAACATCTGGTGATGGATCGCTGAGAGACTAGCCCACCACTCCTCTCCAGCTAATAGGGTTGATGAAGTGTGGCATAGACTTGAAGCAGCATGGAATGTGCTTCAAGTCTATGCTATGAAAAGTCTATGACACGTCTCTTCAAGTCTATGCTATGACAAGTCTCTTCAAGTCTATGCTATGACATATGTTCTCGTTCTATTCTATGACAAGTCTCTTCAAGTCTATGACAATATCTTCAGAAGGTGGTGATCCTAGATACACAGGTTACAGAAAGAGGCGCAGCCAACCATCCACCTGGGTATTCGATCGCTGCCCTGGCCTGCACGGTCTCCAGATCTGTGACCCATTGAAAACATCTGATGATGGATCGCTGAGAGACTAGCTCGCCACTCCTCTCCAGCTAATAGGGTTGATGAAGTGTGGCATAGACTTGAAGCAGCATGGATTGGGTTGCCCATTTTTATCATCCAATTTTAGTTTGATTTTTATGCCTAATGGGGTAAGGGCCGTTTTAACTGCTAGGCGTGGCAGCTGTTTCTACTAATTTCGCACCCCTGTAAACCTCCAAATTGCTTACAAATTTAATCATTTTATCTTCATGCCATATTGTTTACGTGCAATAAATATCTTTTTTTATTTGCTTTACTTCATGGTGTTGCAATTTTAATGGCCAGCAGTGTAATTTACCCTATATTTTAATGGAAATGATAGTTTTAAAGAATAAATTATAGATGAGCTTCCCATTAAAGTATATGATAAATTATTTTTTTCCTTTCAAAGCATTAATTATCATATCCCTTTTTAATCAAAGTTCATTGCATAAAAACCTTTTGTTAATTATATATTATTCTCTGCAATAATAAGTTCTTTAGTTACATGAAGATTTATGATTATGTCATATAAGAGCAATTACCACTCATGATAATATCATTTCCTTTTTCTATCTTATCTATGCGTTTCATCGAACAATACAAATACTTGAAAGAGGAAAAATTCTTTATATTTTCTCTGTTTTTAATCACATAATGCATTCGAAGCATTTTTTACGTATGCCCACATTTTTGTTATGTAAGACTATATATTGCTATGTACGCTTCAAGTTTTTGATAATAATATTTGATGAAAGGAATGAATTATTATATAAAATTTTATACTTTTTAGAATTATTAAAATAAATTATACACTGTAACCGCAATTCTACTTAAAAAGACATAAATATTCTCAAGTTCCACTGCATCTCCTACTGTAGCCCCATCGCTTGATTCTCAAGTAAGAAAAGTAACTGTTTAAAATTTCACCAGACTTTGAATGCTTCTTCCTAATAAGGGTTAGGGAGAAGCATTCAATTCATTCCTAACCACCAACTCGCCGCGCAACCGAGATGGTGGTTAGCAATGCTGACTGCAGTACCGCAGGGCCCGTGCTCACATCCCTGAGAAGGTATGGACGCGTGTTTGTAAATGCATAGTATCTGCGCCGCGTGGGGTACTCTAACTTTTAGGCTATTAAGTTCTCTAGAGAGGTTAGCGTTAAGGGAAAACGGAGGCAAGACTCTCAGACCCGTCCCTCCAGACCATCAAAACTGGGGGGTGAGCAAACTCGCACTGTCACTTGTATGATGTTGAATGTCTTGACAACGACAGGTCTAATCTTGCACTTTTTGCCACGATGCATTTAGGGGGCTTCTTCTGATGTTACTGTCAGACATTTGAGATAAGTCACAAAAACAAAGGTATTTTGTTGCTTGGGAAACGATATTTAATGAGAATGGTCTTTCGAAAATGACAGCAAGGAATTTTCAATAAAATCACTAAACCAAAATGAATATTCTGATGAGTTTGATTATCGTTAAAATATTTATGGTGTTTACTAAAAACACATCAAAATATCACGAATATTTATATCAAAGTGAATGTATACATTTATAAAAATTATGTCGGAAGTCATATAGTGTCTTGAAAGATAGTGCAAACGATTTTGTTTTAATTACTTAAATATTTTGCTCTCTTGTGCCAAAAAATTCCTATTCTTGCAATCTATATGATACATTATATCGGACATTTTTTTTTTCCACATGAAATCTAATATTACCACGTAGACTGCCTCTGCTTCATACTGGAATCTTTAATACGAGTATAACGCGGTCAAACAGTCTGTCATCTGCCATCGGAAAATATTTGTGTTTCCACTTCGCGAAGCTTTGTTTCACATTTATTCAGAAAATTCGGTAATACCGAAATATATTGCAGCTGGCAAAGCATTTGCCTTCTGAAATCAATAAATAATCCTGGTGATTTGAAAAACGATTTGTTGCTACTGCCCGAATAAAATTATTATTATCCTCCACCTGACAAATTAATAAAGTGATTAAAAAGTTTAAAAGGTTTCAGATTTTAAAATTTTCCCAAAAGGTTTGTTTTCTTAACACTCTAGTTGAGCTCATGTACTAATAATCTGCTCTCACACTCACTCCAGCTAACATCCCTTTTTTTGGTCTTTTTAGCTTTATTTTTAAACATCGTAGTCTTCACACTTATGCCACATACAAACAACAAAACCATCAGATCTTTAAAAGCGTATAATCCCCGATTCAGTGTTAAGTGTTTACATAGAGTTTTATAATTTTTTACTTCTTTCTCAATTCATCATATTAATATTCAGACTTCTTAGTAAGATGGCTAATATTTTTTTTCTTTTCTTATTATTAACTTTTTTGCGCATTAACTTTAGTTGCCAAATATCACGCTCTTCGCACGTATGCCACATCCAATCCAACACAAAATTTTGACGGCAAAATCATAAAATATCTAAAAACATCATATGCTTAGAATTCGCGATAGAGTGTTAGAGTTTGCCGTACATATATTTGCTATATTAATTTTAAATACTAGCCACTCGCGCGGCCAGCCACCTAAAGTAATTACCATAAAAATGTATATAATAGATAATAAAAAAATGTATGTAATAGATTAAAAAAATTATATAATTGATAGTGTCATTTCATAAAAATATTGAATACTTCTGATTAGACGTCTAATGATTTTAATACATGTTTATTTATATTAGTCCACTAAAAAGTGAAAACTTTCCAGATTAAATTTATAATTATCTTAGGCTTTACTGAATTGCAACACGGTGGCGTGTTGAAGATAAAAGTATTTTTTAACGGACGAGGATACATATTGCATTTATAGAACCCATTTTGTTAATTAAAACAAAAAGTTAAATATCTTACATTTTTCCGAATGGCAGCATTATACGATGAAGACAAAAATGCTTGATTTCGAAGTTACTGCTCTCTAATATCGTTGAGTTTGTTAATCGAAAATTTATTAAAGTTAAAAAAATATAAAATAACAAATTCGCAATTCAAAATTCGGGCTTCGAGGTTCAAAGCGTGGAGGGCTACCTTATTCAAAATTTGATGGCTATAGGTACCGTCGTGTTTTCACATTGCGAATAATGCACATACATACATGCAGATTATTCAATTTTTTTCATTTAAAAGAAAATAATGAAGGTCTATAATGTTTGGTGGCAGGAAGTTTGAAAGTCACACACCGTTTATAGCGAACCGAAGCAAAATCGCATTTCGAAACTATACCCCTTTTCGGCTAATTATGTTGATAAATATGAATATATATGTGTAAGAAAATGAAAATTAATTGACATATGTCTTTTGAACCGCTAGAGTGCACTTAGCTGATCAGTATTTAAGTCTGCCGGAGTTTGGTTTCAAAAACAATCCGAGAGAGATCATAGAGCTCTCTCATGAAAATGTTTGGTTTTCCTCATGCCTTCAACGAGAGTTAACATCAGTGTAAACACATCAAAAAAATTATTCGTCACAGATATTTAGGAATTGAAAACAAGGGCTGAACGTTGTAAAGAGCGCAGGTCCGTCGGTTGATTATTTGAATTTAATTTACAAAATTAAATTATGTTCGTTTGGTGATATTAGAACTGAGGAATAAAAATATTTCTCTTCCGAAAGAACAAAAACATATCTTTCAAACCATAAATTTTTCACATGTGACATTTGAGAAGAAAAATAAATTTGAGGTAATATACGATTTTTCTCATTCCAAATGTTCCGTTCATGGAGTATTTTTTTCCACAGTTGTTTACAATTCTCTAAACTTTGTCAATAAATCTTTGTTAAATAAATTAATAAATCTAATTAATGCCATCTATAATGTTGACAACATTATAGCTGAAAGCTACTGTCGATTTGCAGAAAAAGGAAAGTTACTGTCGATTTGCCTTTACAGTTTTAATATTAGCTTTAGATATTATTTTTGTTGTGAAGCTTTATCAAAAACGTACTAATGCAACTTAAGCATATCTGCATCAAAAACAAAAACTGATATGACATACCTTTTGATTAAAAACACACTTATTATGGATTCGGCTTTTCGATATTAAGAATAAGCTGATAAAAGGTTATTCCTAGTTCTCGAAATAAAGCGTGAAATTTAATTTTATTTTCAAACGCCAGTGCTGGAGTCATTAAAATAACTCTATGCATATGTCAGCAGGCTTAAAATATCCTTATGCCTATCTAAGCAGTCCCTGATCATCAGTCTTCGAACTGTGCTGCGTAGCTGTCTATGCTGCATGTTTGAAATTGTCCTTATTATTTCATACGTGTTCCCTGACAACTTCTGATAAGAGAGATTTACAAGATAGAACACAGATTTGTGTATGCTTATGTGCTGTTCATTGTAATGCAATTAATTTATAATAAACAGGGAAAAATTATAAAAATAAACTTGCTATCTGCCGTTACGTAGAAGGAAGAAGGAAATATTTGCATTTCTAGCGATTTCAATTATGCAAGGTTTTCACCAATTTCTATCGATATATCTCGTGTACATTACATTGTTTTCCAAAGAGCATTCTATGCAAATATATAAATGTGCTTTGAAAAACTTTAATTATTAATTATTAAACTATGTTCCATATACAGACTTCTATCTTGTTCGCAGTAGGTGCTATATTTGGAGTTTTAGTTCTGTACAAATGGTTTAAGAGCTATGTTACTGGATCGCCAATCCAGCTACCTTCATATAAAGTTTCATTATTGTCTTACATAATGTGTTTCAGGAAATTTAATACGTCACCAGTGCATCCGTTGTCCCGTAAGTAATGATGTTTTTATTTTAATTAAAATTACCAAATTTATGAATTCAATAGACATATTTTGAAATTCATTTATAGCGTAGTTCTAATTCTCATGAGAGTTCTAATTCTCATAATAGCCAGTACCATTATAATTTTTTAATAATTTTTAATTTATATTAAATTAAGCTTAATTAATTAATTAGGATTTAATAAAATAATGAATTAAAATTATGATTTTTTTTGTACTTAGACATAGTGAAAATTAACTTTTCAACGAGAAGATCAGCTTAATTGTTATTTGTTCTGAGAACAAAATTAATTTTACTTTCTTTAGTGTAAGCTTTCCTTATTGTCAGCAATGAAAACAACAATAAAAAACCAAAATCACAAAGATGTCTTCCGAAAATTAATTACAATACTTGATTTGAGACAGATGTAACTTTCACCGCTTCAATTCAAAAATTTTTAGTTAAGAATTTATATTAACTCGTAACGTACTATCTATGCATCGTTTTAGAGAATCGAATCGATGCCTATTATTAAATCGATACCATTGATGATTAATTATAACACTTCCTGTTACGTAATAGAAGATTGATTTTTACCAAGGAAATAAAGCAATATTAATTAGGCGAATAGAGTAAAAAATATACGTGCGTGGGCATGGAAGCATTCAGATGATCAATGTTTAACAATGTTTCGGAAACATGGTATAGAGTGAGGTTTTGATTGATTTCTTGAGTTCATTTATATCGTTAACTTTATTGCTCATTGTTGTTAAAAGTTTGAGTTATGTTGGGAAATAAAACAATAAAATAATGGAACCACTTTTGTTGAATCTTTATTTAATATTATTTACGTATTATTTAATTTTGTCGCCAAGTAAAAAAATACTACTGTAAAGTTCGATATCCTTTTTATTTTAACGTGTTTCAGGCATTTGGTTCACTTGCATTTCACTTATTTGATTTGTTAGGGAATTGGGGAAATACTAGTGAACTGTATAAAAGGCCTAGCTATGCTGTCGCGAAAAGTTTTTCTGAGCTAGTTTGATCAAAATTACAAAAAAATATATAAATAAGTAAATAAATAACACTAGCATAATTTTTAATTGGCAATAAATAAAAAGGAAACGGCAAAAAGGAAATGAACAAATGAATAAATAATAATACACCACAGTTTCCAAACGGAAAGTAAACAAAACTTACCATTTAGTACTGCAGAATTTTACCTACATTCTATGTTAGAATACTACTATGTATAAATCTAATATACATAGCCTAAGTCGCGCTTTCCAGACATAAAAAACGGAAATTAAATTTCATCAATCGTCACGGTAAAACGGGAGATATAAAATTGACCTTTTTTTGTGTGCAAAGTGAACATGAAAAATTTGGATCGAATACCTATACATTTTCTGAATCTCTGAAATATTCAGAATAAATAATTTGACTTAAAAGTAGCCAAAACTGCCAGATTTTGAATAAAACGTTCATGTGATGACCGGAATGGTCCCAGTGTCTACGTACTTGACTGACCGTATACGTTGCATGAAGCCCAGGCATGAGCGCGAAGACTGGGTCCACGCGATTCACCTCTAGAAGATGAACCTTACTCCATGTTAAGGGCCCACAGGGCATAGGTTAGGAAGTTCTATCTTCTAGTGTTCTGTACGTCCGAATAGAATAAAGGACTCTTTGACTAAAATTATAGTAAAAGGGATTTGAAGTGGACTCTTTCATGATGTCTGTACGTACATGCGTATTTCCATAACTCAAAAATGATTTGCCACAAACCATTGGAATTTTGTATGTGGGACATCTAGTTGTGCAGCTCTCATTCTTATATATGTGTGTGTGTATATACCCATCCCCTTCAAAACTCTTAACAGACCTTTATTTTCTTAAACGTTGATCATCGTCATATGCTTCCACCTGCATATGTGTCATAAATGACGAAAATACTCGTTGTCAATAATAATAAGTTTAAGAAAACATTCATTTCTACCAAAAAGCGAAATTCAGCATATAATGTTTTCTCTCTCGGCTCCTATACTTATGATGAAAACGTTTTATACTCGTTATGAAAAATAAAAATTGTAATATGTTTGACTTCCACACGACAAAATTTGACCGGGCTATTTCATTTCAAAATTTTCCGTTTTTGATATCATTTTCAACTTACCTTGAGGGATCGGTTAATTAATTTAAAATAATTTGGAGAAATAAGTTTGAATTAAGTACAGTCAAGAATTATTGTAAATTTATATTTGTACGACAAATTCGTCAGATTTTTTAATTTAAATTTCAACACGATTTCATGCAAGTTTGAAACATTTTTATATGTACAAGTCAGCTATCTTAATCGTTTATAACACATAGTTTTACGAATAGAAATTAAATTCATTTTAACATTTAACAGCTGTTCACAAGCCTAATCTATCGTCTCTGGTCTGCTTAGTTATTTGCACAAACTATAATTCAAGTGTCGTACTTTAAATTTACTTTGATCTAGTGGATGTTACAAAACTTAATCTTATAAAACCTAAAACGTAAGCTTCTCCTACAAACTTTGCAATAGCAAACAATTGACTTTTATACTAAAATACAGATTTTGCTTGATTCTGAAAATACGATGGGTCGGAATGGATACCTAACTTTCTTTTAAACATCTTAGCCGCCAACACATCATGGCAGCTTCTTCATAGTTATTTCCCACCAGGGCAAAATCGCTGAACACTGATAGTTCTGACCTGGGTTCGACTTCAGCATGAGCATTTTTGTGGGGTTTCCCGTGTGCATACGAGCTTATTATCCTCAGAAAGTTTTTTACGAAATCATCGCCCCTTAGACAGATAGTCCCAGTGTTCTTTGCTGCTATGAACTATACCAAACCAAACCTTTATAGTTATTGCAGGCGACTCTCATTACAAGACGGCAGAAACCCGGTGCACACAGACACTCCGTTTTTGCCAGTAAGCCATTGTTTTAGATAAAATTATTTTTTCCTTGCATTTAACCTATAATCTTGCAGGAATATTTGCATAAACATTTGGTCTGAGGGAGCATCGTGACTAACCAAGGAGAATTGGATGGAGTTTAATATAAGCCTATTAATAAAAATTAGATAATATTTGCGCAAATGGGATCATGAACTAGTTATAAAAAGGAAACTAACACCAATACTTTTTATTAAATATTATTGTTTTTGTTGAAGAATCATGTTTCAGTAAGATAATTTTTTTAATTTTTAAATTAAAAATTTCATCTTATCTGTAATAACTTTCAGAATTCTAAAATACGTATGAAATATTTCTTACACTTTTATAAAATAAAATAAGAGAACGATTATATGAGCGAACAACTAGGTTCATAAGAACATTCAGCCTTGGGAGTTTTATATCTAAATCTAATTCCAACTTTGAAAATAGCTAGTTAATACTGGGGCGCCTGCACTATATTCTCACCACGTAATACAAACCCACCATAAACCATAGAAATCCTTCTGCCTCCTTTCTTTTCTCAAACGATTATATTACCGCATAGTTATATAAAACATATTTTAAATAACTAAAAGATTCATGTTTTGGCGTTTTGCAACCTAAAAATCTGTAAAAATTGCAGAAATAGAAATTATTTATACTACTTCCCACTTCCTTTAATAATATTTAGTAAAGTTTTATCATTTTAAAAATTAAACACAAAATGTTTAGCTCCTGTGAAATAAAACTTGACTCTAAGTATTTAAGTTTAAAATTGATATTTTGAAAATTTTATTATACCAGAAAATTAATTTTATAGCTCTGTTGGAAGAGATGAGATCGGTTAAAAAGTAAATTTGGATAAATCGAGATTGATGGTTTTCGATTTGAATGTAATTCAGCAAAATTATTTCATGATTAACTACTGTGTATTATTTTTTAATTTGTAATATGGTAAATTTATTACACTGAGCGAATTTTCAAGTAAAAAAATCTGCAAATTTTTAAATGTTAAAAATACATCAATTATGTTCACATGCAGTTTTATTGTTTTGTGATCATAGCATAAGAGTACTGCAAGAAATTATATTGCACTAGAAATATATTGCCTTTTAATTCATGCAAATAATGTTGTAATTTAATTATGCGTCAATATGTGAAGCCTGCCGTCATCTTATATAGAAAAACAAATATGTGTGGCGGAGATGCACTCAAGCAGATCAATGTTCACGTTTACACAGTGTTAAGTGTTGCCTTACGTTTTTTATATTTGATATACCATTTATATCTGCGAGATAAATTGAGGAAGATATCGGGATTTTTTCCGGATGGCTTCACTAATAAAAACTGGTACTCCTTGAAGTTGTAAAAGGGCTCCCAAATTTTTGGTTAATTTTTTTCCTCTTCTGGCATATTTATTCATATAATTTATATACGCTGTTAACAAATATTATTTTAGTACTTGAAAACATTTGAAAATATCAAAATGTTTAACTTAATTATTCTATTGTTATGGAATCCTAAATTTTAATACATTTATTTTGAAAAATAATTAAGATGCTATTTTTATATATTTAAAATTGCGAATTTAAATATTCTAATGGTACAAACAATAGGATGTTGCGAGGCTTCTTCTTATGACCTAATGTTATCATTTACATTCTGCAAACTGCTTATAGTTTGCGTTAGTTTTCAGATACTACGATATAAATCAGTTTTAAGGCATGAGTTTGACTCTTTTCTTATTGTGTACTTCATTTATTATTTCCAGTGTTAACAATGGCATCGGCTTCTTGACAGAGTTTCACGCATTTGCTTATTCGATTCGTTGGGGAATTGGGGGTTTACCGGATTTCTAGAAAACGAGTTCTATAATGCTCTGTGAATAAGATTTCCGCTTTGAAAAAGAAAATGCAATGATCAAAACAAAAGACATAATCCTTATTATCCGATAGAAAAGTGAATGGGAAGATTTAGTCTTGTTTATTATAATTGTAATTTTGTTGTAATTATAATTCACTTCTTAATTTCTGCAGTTCTTCTTGAATATTTCTGCGCTATTGCTAAAATTTACGAGAAAGAGGGAATCTTTTACATGTGGTTTGGATATAAGCCTTTCATCTTTGCTTACAAATCAGAAATTGTCAAGGTAAGTATTTTATTAATTAGCATTATATAATTTCAGTGCAAGTTACTACGTATATAGAAACAAATACAATGCGTCATAAATTCCCTTACATGATATATTACACTGAGTTCCATTTTCATTTAATCATTTATTTGAAACTTACCATCTATATTAATATATAATTTGCTTCTTATTTATGTATTTTTCTGAGCTGTTATTTTGCTAATAAAGGAATAATACGAAGTGTGTGATTTAACCATTCACAATAAAAGGATATAATTAGTGCACTAGAAAATGGTTTGAAAATACACATATTATAGTTGAAGAGACAAGAATAGAGAGAAAAACTGCAAAATCTTTTTACTGGAGTCTGCTACTTCTAAAAATAATAATATTCGGCAAATATTAAGAAACACTGAGAAACAACAAATTAGAGAGTATGCTATATAAATGATTCAGTGCAAACATATCTGATGTTAGTAGTATTATATGTTAACAGGAAAATCTATATAATTTCGCAACAAAAGAACTTGCCGCTATACAGCTGATTTGGTTCCAAATGGAAAAAGAAGGAAATCTATAAAAGCTAACGGAAATTCCAATTTATTACGAAGAATTTCAAGAAATGAGAATTGTTTCAAACCAAAAGCTCATCAGATTTATTTAACCTAGGCATAAATATAATATATAAAGGAGAGTATCCATTGGCTGGTTGCAATTCGTATCAATTTCCATCTTTATTCCGATTTTGATGAAATTCCGCTTAAGTCACCATCAAAACAAGAGGAAGGTCATTGTTTATATAAGATTTCAAAAAGCTACCCCACAGGGTCAAAACTCATTACATATCAATATTTTGTGGGAAAAGCATGGAACTTTTGATTAAACCCTCAGTGATTCAAAAGCTTTGTGTTTCCACTCTGCAAAGCGTAATATATTAACTTTCCAAATTATATCACGAAACGCCGGAATATAAAAGACGTTTGATGCCACCAGAGACAAAGCAATATATTTCTCTTTCGATTTTAATAAACACATTTCGCGATTTAAATGAAATATGTCACTACCACACAAATTAAAATAAGTTTGTCTTCCATAAATCTATGCGTTGTTCGTTCGGCAAAGCATAGGACATTTAATTTTTCAAACAAATTTTTTCTGTTATATATTAACAAACTAAGCTATTTGTAACAATAAACGCAGATTCATCTGGATTATTTTTAATTACTAGCTGTTCTAGCGAAGTTATGCTATCTGGATTTATTTAAATCGTATATATACATAGAGCAAAATAAATTTTAAAAAATCTGGTGTAAACACCATATGACTTCCTTGTATGGAATATTAAATTGTACTCAATTTTTCTTGCATGTCATTTAAACTTATTATATTGAATTAAATTTATTTCGTCGATAGCGCATAAACCACAACAGAATAAATGCACTCTTTAAAATTCACTATATTTTTTACCATAGCGACACTTTGGCCCTAGGTTCACTTAACAGCGTTACATTTAATTCATTTTTTAAGAAATCTAGGAATTGTCACTTCAGTTATGGTCTCAACTACATAAGAGTTTTTAACTTTCTTTCCAATGGTGCCAATGGCAGTTCGCGGTTGTTTAAAAATCAGTGGTGCGAAGATCATCGCGCCCGCAGGCGAGAAAAGGTCGAAGGTGACTTAGCCAAAGAATAGTACGAATCATAGACGTTCTTTGGCTTAGCCATGAGTAGAGCAATGAAATGTCCTCTCCGTAGTAGCAAAAGTCCTTTCTGTAACCAGTCCATGATCATTCGTCGGAGCCAGTCATGTGGGAGGTCACCCTCCCAAGAACTGACCCCGATCGATGCTGCTTGAAAACGGATGATCCTGAGAGAGTGAGATGCGAAATTTTTGAAAAATGAAATAAATCTATGAGTTTCATCAGTTCAGGGAAGTGAGCATCCATTTAGTTACCTTCTTCAGCTATTTTCATCCCGTCCATTGCGCCTCTGAATCCTGTGGATAGTTTTTCGGCTACCGTTTTGGCGTTTCTGATTTTATCGATAAAGTTCAATCATGTTACTTAGAAAGTCTTGTATTTTTCCATCTTATAGCCAGCTTAGCTCTTCTCCTGCTTATATGGGGATCTGATTTAATTTTTTCTTTAGTTTATCACTATATTGTTTTTTTTTTCTGCGTGAGATTAGAACTTCCTTCAGTAGTCTTGATAAGTTGGGGAAAATCTTCACTTCTCTTTACAAATTATTTTCGTTTTTGAGGGGCTGGTCTTTTATCAAACTTCTTTCTGTACTCTTCGCAACCACGATAGCTGCAAACGTGGTTTTGTTTACAGAAAAGACAGATTTTTTTTTCTTGTTTCTTAGGAAAGGTATTACTGCGGTGTTCTTCACCATATTTGCAGCATCTAAGTGTATTTGTACATAGGTGCTGGGAATGTCCCCCCTCCTGACACCTATAGCACTGAATTGGACGTTTTCTTGGGTTATATTTTCCAACTGAGACACTCATGCTAAACATGCAGTTCAGATGAGAATCGCGTATCCTTGCTTGTTCTTTTTGAATTCTAATAGCCAAATTGGGAGCTTTTCGTTTCTTTTTTTTTTTTTTTTTTTTTCTGGCTTCTGCAGAACTGCTTCATTTTCTTAATGGGGAATTTTCTACGCTCTAACTCTTCAAAAATTGCTTCCACAGTTATTTTTTCCGGTAAATTCTTTAGAATTACACGGAGGGGTTTTTCGTTGTTCAGTAGATAGGTATGGAAGGGTATTCCTTTTTCTTGCATTAGTTTCATCGCGTTCTGTTCTTCAAATCGATTTCGTGTTTACGAGGATCGCGTTCGACTTCGTATTAGCTTTTATTTCTTCTCTGCAAATATTTCTTAAATCTTGTTCAAATTTCAGCCAGTTTACTTTCTCCTGTTGGAAAACAATTGTAGGGGTTTTTTCTTCTGAACTTTCACCTTACAATTCGCTTTATATTTCCTCTAGCTTTTCGAATCTGTTCTTACTCGTGATCTCCATTGAGACTACATCCGGTACTTTTTTCACTGATTTTTTCGGGGAAATCCACGGACCTTTATTTAGATTTTCTTCGTCACGCTCTGAGCATTTCCACGTTGAGTATCTGTTTCCGTCTAGACAGTCTTTATCTTTGAATTCAAAGCATCTGTGAATTTATCTGGCCTCGTGTGCGTAACATCTTTATTATATAGTCCCTTTTGTTTTGTTCATCAAAATTTTCAGCCGCTTCTCGTTGAGGCATATCAGATTCCGACGATGTTTTCAGCTTCTTTTTCTTGCTTTTTTTCTTGGGTGGTTTTAAGAAGTCATCTTTCCTAATCGGGAATTGCATAGATTAAAATTGACCAAAGTGGATAGAGATTTTCCAAAATCTCATTTCGGAATAAAGACTTAATCTATAATCAAACACGTAACAACTCTTACTCAGTCAGTTTACATGTATTCATATTAGTTTTACATTGTTCTACAGTTTTATTAAAGCTTGATTTAGCTTTTCACACTTAACCTTGAACCAAAATAAGAGAAAAATCACTCTCTGGCATTCCGAGAAAACTAACTCCTATCCCTAAATGAATTTGCTTCACTTTATATAAAGCTCGAACAATGCAGAGTACGTCAGCTAGTTCACTGATAAGTTTGACTCATTAAAGATGAGTTGTTTGCAGAATTACTACAGTCATTCGTCAAACATTTCAATGCCTTAAAAAAATGAAAAAAAAAAAAAAAAAAAAAAAGTTCTGCGGCAATGTAGAATAGCAGTCTGAAAATTCGGCATCGCTATAGTCCCAAACGTGAGGGATTACCGACTTTTGCTGTATTTCGCAGTCATAAAATGCATTTTTTAGTTGCGCACTTTTTTCTTTTTTCCAAAATCTGTTAAATTCTTTCTGTTCTAGTAGGTAGACCGCACATAACTATTCTTTATATTTGAATTTATTAAAACAATCACATTATATACAACTAGGAGATCGTAAAAATGCAACATATCCCCATTCACTCTTCTCACTGTGCTAGCTGTGCGTTCTCTAACGTCAACTCATTTTGCAGTGTCATTTATAGGCATACTGCATTTCTTTAATGAAGTACAAAATATGTTTTAAATAAACAAATAAAATATTTTAGTTTTTATAAAGATATCTATCGAAGTATATTTCTAGCCAAACAGGTAAAAATCACAAAGAATTTTAGCTATTTCTTTTACAAGTTTTGAGAATTTAAAGAGTTTAATATTAGGAACGTTCTTATGAGCCCAAAACGAAGCAATCTAAAATGAATATGAAAAATTACTTATTAAGAAAGGAAAAAAGGAATGGACAGATTAAAGAAAACGAAGAGATAAAATAGGTAAAGAAGAGGAGTTTGAAGTCAGATACAGATTCTGAAACAGAAACGTAGTAAAACTTCTGATGAAGACGAAAGGGTGCAATGACTTAATTTGCAAAATGTGAACACACCTTCAGCAATCATCACAATCAACAATCTATCATTTGTTTGCGCTAACTGAAATTCTGCTGAAAATTGAAGTTTATGTGGATATGGCTGAAAAATTCTTCTTTTGTTTTACGATAATCATTCAGTGTTACTATATCAAATAATAATGATAACCAAATAATTTTAAAATATATTTTATTGTTACTATTTTCCCCAGGACTGCTGCAATTTGTTCAACTCTAGGATAAATTGCAACAGACGAATAATTTTGGTGAAATATTTTTGTGGTAAAATCAACAAAATTGCCGAATATTTGTTTTGGGGTATAGGAAGGAAAACTAGTTATGCTGTAAAAAGAAATCATAAACATACAAAAAAAGATAAACATTTTTCAAAGAATTGGAACAATTAGCCCCTAGGTTAATTATACATTTAATATGACACAGTGTGACTATGAGTTTATTATAGCTTTTTAAAAAATTCGAATACTTGTTAGCAAAGACATTTAACAGATTAACGTATAATAAATTAATTAAAAACATAAAAAATAATTAAATACTCAATAACGGTACCTAAAAATTGAATCAATATTAAATTATAAATGAAAATGTAGTAAAACCATAAGCAAAGCAAAAAATAAATCTTAAATTTTATAAAATAAGACTGAAATAATCACAAATGGTCGATGATTTCGACCATTTGTGATTAACGTGAGTACATCACATAGAGAAGGTAAGCACACAATTACAAAATTTTTAACATTTATTCTACGGCTAAAGAAGATGTTCACCCCGAAATAATGTTTTAAAAATACATTTTGGACGTCTTTCCCTTCAGCCGAAAAGGGACGTTTATTCTGAAACGACATTTTACGTTGAATTACTATAAGCAGCCTATCCCTTTGCATGTTTTTCGCAATGTGAAAAAACAATAGTACCCAGAGCCATCAAATTTTGAATAACGTAGTCCTCCACCCGAACACGGGAAAATTGAAATCCGAATTTTAATATAGGACGTTGTTTTATCATACATTTAACAGTTTGAAAAACTTTAAAGAAATTTTTATTAACAAACCCAGCGATTCAAAGCGAGCAGTGGCAACACTGTAGGAAAACAAAACACTTTTATCTGCAGCACGCGAGACTGTCTATTGGAAATTCTAATGCTATGTTGTTTGTAAATATTTTGTGATTTTCCTATTGAATCGAGTTTTATGTGGCGTAAGAGCCAAGAATCTGATAGTTAATAAATAAATTAAACAGATAAAAAAAAAAAAAAATCTGAAATGTTTCAAATTTTAAATTACGTCCAAAGGGTCGTTTTTTAACATTTTGTGTATTACCTTTCTTTATTAAATATCATGTTTCTCGCACTTAAAACCATAAGATCCAGTGCAAACAGCAATATCGCAAAATAGTTTTAAAACGAGCATATCTTTAGAATTTCCGATACAGAGACTCACGCGCTGGAGATAAAAATGTTTTTTCTGCACAACGTTGCCATTGCTCGCTTTGAAATCCTTGAGTTTGTTAATCAAAAATTCGTCAAAGTTTTAAAAAATAGGAAATCGATCATAAAACAAATTTCAAATTTCAAATTTGGTCTTCCACATGCTCATATTCGTTGGAGGATTACGTTATTCAAAATTCGATGACTCTATGTACCGTTGTTTTATCACAATACGAGAAATATACATACATTTATGCAGATTTTTCATTATTTAATTTCTTCAAATATAATGCAGGACTCTAACATTTTATGGCAACAGTTTGAAAAGTGAACCGACATTTATCCGTCCGACGCAAAATGCCAAACGAAACTAATAGTCCTTCGGGATTCAAATCCCTTCGGACTAATAATAATAAAAAGACAAAAAAGTTTTATAAACCGATCTTGGTAAGGAAACTGAACACTGATATGATGAACTGAGAAATAGAAAAATGTGTGCGAAATCTTAACGCTCCATCGAGAATTCTAAACGAATGCTATTTTTTCTGTTCAATTGTATTGGAATAAATGCGAACAAAATGAAGCTTAATAATAAATCTAAAAAGAATTAAAAAAGAGGGGTTAGTTGGAGTAGACTGGTAGACTGCGAGCTCAGTGAGATCGTAAAAACCTTAACAAACCCTTCTGGGCCCACCAGCGGCCGAGCGGTAAGGTCGCTAAATACTGGTAGTTCGGTCCGAGGTTCGAATCCCGCGAACGGGCTGGCTGCATGGACGTTTTCGTAATTTTCCCCATGTGTAACGTGTATACGAGCCATATATCCCCATTCACTCTTCCCTTAGAAAGTCCTCCACGAAGGCATCCCTCCTCTTAGGCAGATAGCCCTAGAGGCTTTGCCATAACCCCATACACACACACACAAACCCTTCTGATAAAGGTTAAAATCTGAAAACCTTTCCGATATTTTAAATGCTATTTTTTAAATTTAAAACTGATTGTTGTCCATATTTTACTTATTCATTTAAAAAGGGAATTACACATTTCGCAGTTTTATTGTTTACATCATCGGAAGAAGAGAAACAAAATTTTAACTGAAACTCATACCGAATTTAAAACAAAATTTACTGATTTTTGCCGGTCTTCCTTAAATCAGTCGATGATTTCGACCATTTCACGTCCATTGTTTTAAACTTTCAAATTAAAAAAAATACACTTTTAGAATTTTCACTTCTTATGAAACAAATACTTAGCGTTTCTTTTAAAATCACAGGGAATCTACCAAGTTAGTTGTAATTGCTTTTTACATTCTGCGAGTTTATATACACGTTTTCTATTTTGGCGCGGCTATGCGTCAGTCTCGCGTGTGAAACCTGAGTACTCGAAGGATGCCGCATAAGCAGCTAGTAGTAATACGTATGAAAAAAACGCATAATAGTAAGGCAAAATTGATAAAATTAAAGGAAATAAAAATTTCTTTATAACGAACAGTGTGCATTTTAGAATTTTAACATAGTTATTAACGCAGTACATAAACAGCAATACATAAAATTTGTAAGCTTATAATGTGAGGCTTAATATATGGTTGATTACTTATTAAATGCCTTATCATTTTACCTCAGTTATTTATATACATGCATTTGCAGGCGATATTATGCAACCCAGATAGTAAAGGAGTGCCCCTTGAAAAAATGATGGCTTTAAGATCGATAACTGGAGATGGACTATTATTAAGGTAGGTTTACAACCTAATACTATTACCTCATACTGGGTTAATTTAATGTATCATTATAAGAACTTAGAAGAAAAGCCTTCAGTTTGTTATATCACAAGCAAATTTGTAACAAATACACTCGTAGGCAAAATTAAAGAATTTGCGTATTATGTCGGATTCTAAGAAACTCATAGACAGATTTTCAAGAAATTTGGTACAAATACACATTTATAAGAGAATGTTTGCATGATTATCAATAAAGATTATAGTGATAGGATTTCCAAAATTCGAGACGTGATATCGAACTAAAAATGACTCTAATATAGGGTATGTTTCCTTCTCAAAGCCAGACAGGTCGTGCAGCGTAGCGGCATTCAGGAGGCAGTAAAAAGGGTCCGTGTGACAGTTGATCCCATTCCCGCAGCAAGACAGTTTTACATTCCGGAATGGTTCTCGTAGTAGAAAGGGAGATGATATATCGCTCTCTAGAGGGTCCCAGATATGCTACATAAGGTTAAGGTCACTGATATGTTAATTTGGCTGACTAGACTTTGCGGCGAATATTCTCACATTTCAGATAATCGTTGACCGCTGAACCTGAGACGAGAGTTGTTTTCTATGCACAGGCACTCAGGGTCAGCTCTCATCCTGAAAAGTCAAATATAGGGCCCTAAAATCTTCTCTTTATGCCTCACGGTAATCAGGATGCATTTGTGAAACACATGCAGGGGTATGCGGTCGTCCAACATAATATCTGCCCAAATCATTACAACTTCAAAACCGTAATGATAATTTTCCTTGATGAATGAGGGAGGGTATAGTGTTTCATCTCTCCCAAGTTACAGATACGCCGAGAATCAGTGTGCAGGCTGAATTCCGACACATCTGTGAGAAGCACGGTGCTCGATTGAAGTCTGATATTGGCTGCACTAGTCTAAACGCAATCTCTTGCTTGCTGCAGAGAGCAAGAAACAAACAGCGAGTCTTCTGGCAAACAGTCCTAACTCAAGAACCCTTCAGACAACTGTAGGCTCTGAAACTCGGTTTCCAGTGGTATCATACAATTCCAGTGAAAGCTATGAAGCTGTACCGTTCCTGTGTCGCCTGACTAAATGTCCAAAATAATGATCCTCATTCGTCGTTCTGTATCTTCGCAGACCTTGTCCAAATTTTTTCGGTATGGATGCAGTGCCCTGAAGTTTTTTATACAAATTTCATACGACACTGGCCATTACTTTTATGTCTGTACTTACATGAGTTTGGGATTGGAATGACTCCAATATGCCGACAAGTTCCTACGTCATTCCGTCATCGATACTTTCGTGGCTACTCATTTTACAAGTTACTTTGTAGAGACATTAGGTATTTTTTTGGGAACAGGAGAGACGAAAAATTAGCCAACGCCTTCGGGAATCGAACCGCGGACCTGTTGAATACTCGCCGAGCGTGCAGACCATCACACTACGAAGGCATGCCAAGAAGGCGGGAGAAATACCTTATAACCTAATAAAATTTACCAAACTCATGCAAAAAGCAAGCGAAAGTTGTGAAGAAATATACGATCACAGAAGTCGCCGAAATCCTCTCATGCGCTTATATGCCCTTCACAAGCACTGCTTCATAGACATTCACGTGTATGCTTAAGTATTCAAATATTTGTATAATCCTTCGGCAGCATAATTAGTACATTTGGCTCCATATTTTTCGTAAAAATAGGCATAATTTTCGAATACTCTAAACATACTTATTTGTTTGGATAAATACTTAGATACATGTACACGGAATCATTTAGAACTGAGAATGGCCTGATCAGCCGGAGAGTTAAGAACTTGCTTTGATGTACTTAGGGAATTTTGGTTATTTTTCCGAATATCCTTAGAAAGGCGTTAATCCCTTTAGCAACATTTGAGGATAGTCTAAGTAGATTTTTGTGCTTAAGAGCGTATTTTTATACCTACTTAAAACGCAATGTATTGCATCATACTGAGACACACTAATCATTTTGAACACCAGATATTTTGAAGACTTTGTAATTTAACGTCACGAGAACCCATTGCTTAAATTTCTATGTCCCGGAATATGAGAAGGTGTCTTGAAAATACTGATTCGTTAATTCTCAGATATCTTGAAAATTTTTATATTTAATATCCCTAGAATATTTAGACCGCTTTTATCGAAGCTGTTCGCCATCAGACAGTCTGAGGGTATTTTTCGCGTGCAGTGTCTATGACACCTGGCAAGGATGCAATATGGGTAGCTAAGGATGTTAAGGATGCCACATTAAACACTCGGAATGATATTCCGAGGGAATATTCCAACACGTTCTGAAGATGTGATGAACAGGACTTAAAATCTTATCAACGTCTCGTAAATTGTTGATAGGACTTAGCCAGGATTTCTAGAGAATATAATTGTTAAAATTGTAGTAATTAATTTTTATAGCATTTCGTATGTATAGTTTTGATCGTAAAAACATGCGTTTTCATTTGCAGTGAAGGCAAAAAGTGGCGTCGAAATCGCACCTTAATTAATCCAGCATTTCATACAAGAATTCTGGAAAATTACATGCCAAGTTTTAACGAAGGCTCCAGAAGACTGGTGAATAAACTGAAGGTATTCGTTAATCAGCCATGGGTAGATTTATGGCCGTTATTCATCGTGAATTCTCTGGATCTCATTTGCAGTGAGTAGACTTTGTAAATATTCAAACAATATGAAGTTTTCTGAAATTGAAAATACTGCTTTGAATACTTTGTAAAAGCTATTGAAATGGTACTTTAAAATTTTTTTATATCCGTTCTACGGCAAACATAAAAGAAGACAATATAAAATACGCCACAGCGTGTTTACGCAAATGAATGGATTAACCATACTTGACATCCAGGACGAAACATTTTATGGTGTCCCAAATATTGTCTAAATGTAAAGCACATTACTATGTTGTAAGTTATACTTCATAAAATAACCTAATAATTCGCCATTTCCTCATTAAATTTATTTAAATAAAAAATGCGTTTTTTTTCACACTTTGTCTTCTAACTTGTTTATGCACTTTGTCTTCACAGCTTCAGTTTTGTAAAACATTTTAAGTTAGATTTTTTTAACTAAGCTGCAAAATATGAGAAATCTAAAAACATTTCATGGATTACAAATTTTAATTAAATAAATTGTATAAATGAGACCAAATTAATGTAGTTAATTTACGTACGATTCAAAAATTAAGCTTTAAACAACATGCAGGAATTATTTTTTTTTTCCATTGCAAAGCAATCTTTCTTTTCAAGTTTTTTGTTCGCATAGAAAAGAAGTTTGTTATTTCTGCTTTACAAATTTACAGTAATTCAGTCATATCAGCTATCAGTCACGGAGCAATAAAGCGAACCAGTCATGGAAAGCTATCACAAACTAAAATATAAAGTTTAAAACTTTATTTTGTTCTAAATTTCGTTTTAAAAACGTAGATTTGAAACAAAAATGCATATTATTTTTTATATGTTAAATAGTATGGAAAACTTTCGATTCCCTAAAAATGGAGACCTGAGGTACATACCTTACTTACTCTTACCTTTACTTACTTTGCATGTCCTGTTTTCAGCGTTCTTGCCATCGCTGAAATGCAACTTGAAATAATTTTACGTAAGCAACTCCACAATCTTTTGCAATTTTCGCTGGATCTCGTCATCAATGGTGATCTGGAAATAAAGGTTGGATTGCGTTCAGCACGATAACTGAGATTTTATCTCATTACGAAACCATATTAATGTTCAGGTGTTAGCAGCTAGAGAACAAACCTGGTAGTTACACGCCGAATAACCAGTTCAGACAATAAAATTGTCTACACTGGGTTGTACCTCACACCATTTACATTTGCATTCTCACTGATAGTCATTCGAGAATTGTTTTCGCATTAATGCGATGGCGTATCTTCACAGATAATATCAAAACAAGCACTGCTTCAGACGCCCTCGTGTTCTTTCTCAAAATTAGGGTAAAGGTGCTCAGTTAATAAGGTCAGACTATACCTGTACAATCTATGGCGACATTTTGGTAGCCCGCCCACTTATATTTGTACATGTACCACAGAAGGCGCAGTAGTACATGTTGAAAGGTTATCCTGTTTGAGTTATTTTAAATAAATTTGTGGTTATACTGCAGAGACATTAGCTTATTTCGAAGCAGGTAAGATGAAAAATGAGCAATGCCCTCGCCGGGACTCGAATTCACGTCACGAACCTCTCGAATTCACGTCAAACATGCTGACCGCTACACAACAAAGGTAAGCTAAGAAGGCGGGAGAAATACCTCATAATACTTTCAGAATATTAAACTGATAGTTTGTAAATCCATATTCTTTGAAACAGAAAAACGAAACTTCATACAGCATGAACCGACTTCTGTGAAACTTCGACTCGCATAACTTTAAATGATTCTTGTAAAGATGTGTATCCATAATATTTGCAAATCTATGAAGAAAGCGAATGTATAAATATGGGTTTTAAAAATGTTTAACCAACTCGATCTTGAAAGAGCATTTTCGTTTGCGTATACATGCCTCACATTGCTCCTTAAAAGAGTAATAAACCCTGCTTTTAATCGCCGATTTTGGAAACTATATCTCAACATTTGAACATCATTTCCATTCCCTCTCAATCCTCCAGAAAACTCCCCATTTCATTATCTTGGGGGGGGGGTAAAAAACACTACATTTACCTTATCTCTTCTTTATGGAGATTATGCATTTGTTATACTTTCGTTTTTAATATGCAATAATATTATTTCACATTTCACATTTCAATGTTTGGTAGGATATATTTGGATCCAGAAAAACGTATTTACAATGCCAATTTCCATTACTTGGTTTGCTTAATGTATTTTATTTGTGTAAGTTTTCTACATTCGAAGAGCAAGGAAAACCTGTATTGGAAGCTGTTTTATATAAGAATTTCAGATTATGAATAAATGTGCTCGAAATCTTTTATCTTAGCGAATTATTACTTACATATACTTGTGATTTATCAAAACTACATATACACATTTGCTCTTTAAAATATCTTAAAATAATGGTTCCGAGTAAAAAAAAAGTGTAATAATAAATTAATGGTAGATAAATAAATAAAGTAATAATAATAATGATCTCTAAATTGATGAATTGATGAATGATTAATAAATATCTCATTATTCAAATTAATTATGAATATCAATAATATAAAATTCTCATTAATATTAATAACTATCTCATTAAATAATGAGAAATTAATAAATATCTCATTATTCAAACAGTACATTTATTGATTTATCTAAACTAATTACATATGTATATCTGAAAAATGATTTGTCAAGACTATCTTATCAGTTTATCAAGGAAACTGAAGAAAACTTATTTATTATAAGGAATTGTGAAAAGGTTTGAAAATGCTGTATAACACATAATTATAATAACACATAACATTTTAAGTTAATATTCATAACTTTCATATATATATATATATATATATATATATAATTAGGTGTTAGATTAATTATATTAGATATATAATTAGGGGTTAGATTGATTAGGTGCATATAATTACGTGTACATACAGATATATAATTAGCTTTTTTTTCAACTTTCTCTCAGTTTAAGTTATCAGTGGTCAGTTTCTTTCGTTAGTAAACCTTCACTTTATTAATAAATAACAAAGCAATACGAGCATATTTATAACTGTAATTGTTTTTCTTGTTTTATTATGCTTTCGTCTGCTATCTGCTCCCAACCACACACTCTGTATATCATTTTATGTCTGCGTTTTACCCATACTTGTGCTTAAATATAGTCTTCATGCGTATTTCTTTAAAAATAATACATGGTGATGTAACATATGCAGCCCGAAAAAGTAGAGGATAATTCAAAATATTTCGCGAATCACCAAAAATTGCCTCGCGGCATACATTTAAAGAAGTCAGCTCTTATTTTCAAGTAACATCCAAGACAGAAAATAAAATTCATGATATTATAACCACCATTTTCATCCTTCTAGAAACAGCGATGGGAGTCAAAACAGCTGTAGATGAAGACAACCCAGTGATTACATCAGTCATAAAATCATGCAAAATGTAAGTTAACATGTTTAACCATCCACTTTGAATCTGAATTATCTATACTTCTATACATTATTTATTTTTTATTCGATTTTATAAAAAAATGCTTTATTACATACAAAATTTAGACGTATACTAATTCTGGTTTTCTACTCACGGGCATTTCGGATAAAATTTTTATTTTAACACAATGTTTCGTATGATAAAAAAAAGAATTTTTCTTCTAACACTGTATGGCTCACCCTGTAACTGCAGTCGAATTCAGAAAGAATTGATTTGGGTGATTTTTATTAGCGAAATAGCTTTATATATCATTAAGTCAAAAAGCATTATGTTCAATCTTTACCTTCTCCAAAAATAAGTTTTTAGTTGCAAAATTAACATCCAGGGACTATCTTATTGTGGTACTGTTATTAGTTGTTCTGTTATTAGTAAGTTTCAGTTATATATCGTTACAAAAATAACATAGTATTTAAAAATAGTTTGAAGTTTATAACTAGATTTTTTTCGAGGAAGCCATAAAATATATTTTTTATCTCAAAAACTGAGTTATTTATTTTTTATGATGTTTTTGATGATACTTCAAAACACAGTCACTTTATTTATCCATTTAAAGGAGTTATCTCTGGAATAATTATCTACGAAATGATGATTTCGTCAGAAGTCCTAGAGAAACCTCCTAGAGTTAGTTGTTTTTACCCCAATAGTTAATAAACAGTAATTAGTAGTTAATAAACGTAATAGTAAATAAACAGAGTAGAGCGAATTTTTGAATTTACGTATTTCATCATTTAATAAATGTATAAGGATAAAGGATGTAATGAAATTTGTAACATTTTTTAAAGTTAATATTAGTAATTATACTTAAGGAAAATATTACTATTATGTAGATAGGTAAGTGATCATTTTGTATTTATTTTTAAAAATAAAATCGTCTTTCATTAATTACTGTAATAGTGTAGGATATGTTTTCAAGAAATTAGGAGTATGTAAATGTATTAAAAATCACACGAATTAAATGTATTAAAAATTATTTTGAATTTGAGATTTTATTAAAGAATATAGTAAAAGTATAAATTAATATGTACGCAGCTAATCAACAAAGCGATTTCAAAATTTATCATAAAAATCGCTTAATATTATGAAATTTCATTAATTCAACACAATGAAATTACTCTCACTGGAATAATTAAAGTTATCGTATGTTTTTGTTATGTACTTAGCCTTTTTAAAATAGAGATGCCAACATGGAGCATTGTTTAAGAGGATCTGGCTTGTATTTACGTTACACATTGGGAAGAAAACCAAAATTCATAGACAGAAAAACTAACAGCAAACAATGGAATAATACAGAGGCACATTTTTAAACTATTTTGCTTTGCTATAAAAAAATTGTCTGCCTGGAAACTGCCTTATATTGACTGCAACTATACTTCTGCAAGCATCGGGTTTTAACAAAAGATTCCCGCCTCCGCAAACATGCGCAAACAGTTCGCGTTGGCGTGTTTAATCGTATTTTGTGTAAAAATTTTTGACATTTGAAAGAAAGCGACTTGAACACTGTGTTGTAAAATTTGTGAAAAGATATCGTTATTATTAAGTGCACGGTGTTTGAAATGGAACTATCACACTACCGGTTTAGAACCATCATTTACTTCCGGTTCTGTTGCAAAACGTCAGATACAGAATATCACCAAATCATGTATAAGCTTTGGATGCTAATGTTGCAAAATATGACACTGTGAAGATTTGGCAGAGAAAGTTCAAAAACAAGGAGATTATGACATTCAAAAAGTAAAGCGCTGTGGCCGGGCTACTGATGTTGATGAGACCCCCTGAGAGACCTTGCGGAAGTAGATCAGTATTCAACCACTCGGAGAGCTTGCTAAGGAGTTAGACGTTAGGACTACGTCTATTAGTTTCATTATGCATCGCATAAAGGTGACGTACAAGTTCAATCGCTGGGTGCCGCATGAGCTATTTCAAGCAGTTCAGGACAGACGCGTTCGAGCCTGCACTAATCTGCTCGGATATCAATGCAAGGATAAACTACTGAAAAGTGGATTTACTTAAGCAGCACAGGGCGAAACGCCGATTGGTCTGCACCCGGCGAGCCCGTCCGCAACGTCACAAAGCACAATTTGACTAACAAAAAGATCATACTTTGTATCTGCTGTGACTGCTGTGGTATTATATACAACGAAAGGAAAAATCCTCCACAAGAAGGTGTGCAGAGAGATGCTAGTCCGTGTTGACGCTGCTATCGAGGAAAAACAATGAAGTGAGTTCCGGAGCAAAAAGTTAATGTTTCATCAAGATAATGCAAAGCCACATGTGTCTGCATTCATCGGCTGGACTCTGTACGGTCTCGAATGCGATCTTTTGTAACACTCACCATATGGCTCCGACATCGCTCCATTGGACATCTATCTTTTTTCATATCTGCATCTACATCTTGCTGGCGATATCTTACATTCTACACAGGACGTCCGAAATGAAGTTGAATCTGTTTTTGGACTCGTGGCCACCAGGTTTCTGGGCCGAAGGCTGAAAATTACCAAAACATTGGCAGAAAATGATAAATTTGAGTGGTGATTACTACCCGCACTAAAAGTACTGTTTTTATGTTTTTTTTTAACTTTATTCAGAACATGTTTTTGCAGAAAACTTCCATTACAACCATATGCTGCTTGACAGTTTTGCTTTTCATGCAAATGGTGCTTTCAAAGATTTAGGATATGGAAGGCTATGTTTGAACTCTTTCTGAAGGAAATTATTCGAATCTGGTTATTAAAAAACACTGTGAAAGCCATGGTGTTTCGATATCTAAAGCTACTATCGGTAACACTGTTAACAAGAAAGTTGAAAATCGTCAAATTTGGACTTCAAGTGGAACATGTGTTCCAAATACACATCCAATGAAAAAACGGAATGTTTCGAATGATGCAAAGGTAGGATATTTAATGTTAAAAGAAAATCCATTAGGTCATTTCTAAAATCATTAAAATGCTCAGTTTCAACTGTAAACAAACTGATTAATGCTGATTTGAATCTTAAAAAGGTCTAAAAATATAATATGCATCTTTTTTCTCCACGAGATACCGCAAAAAAACAGCGCGATGCAGAATTATTAATGAGAAACATTTATCAGGACAAAAATGGTAAACTGTTATCACAACAGATAAATATCGGGTACATTTAAATGACAGTAGTAAAAATAAATACATTTATAGTCATCAAAGGGCATAAAAATATCTTAAAACATGGTTCAAAGTATCTAAAATGGGTTTATAATTGTTGTTGGTATTTAATATAACGGCAAAGTAAAAATAAACAAAGTGGAGAAAGAAATATTAAGATCAACTCCACGTACTCTAAGGAACATACATAATACCCTGTTTTCAAAAATAAAATACTTTTTCTTTAGCCTGTCATACTGTCAGCAATTAGTAGAGCTATATCAAGACAAAGCAAGCAGCCACACGTCAAAATCCACTGTTAAATTCCTGGAAACAAATGGAGCAAGTAACGGGTTTCAAGGTCATACTTTTCACTCATATCTCTAATAAATCTGCTTATGCATAGTGCAAACGGATTTTAGCACTTCTGAATAGCGGATTATCTAAATATCTAACTTTGGAAAGCTTTTCAAGAGGAATGCGATAAAGTACATCTCTTAGTAGAGAGATAATGAAGAATAAGGACTGTCAAAGAACAGATAATTTAAAAACGAAAGTTTTAGGCAAAATATTTCTCTAAATGTAACGAAAATGGGCGAATAGCTTCTGTAGAATCGATGACGTACAGTAGAAGACCTGTGAAACTGGGAAAAGCTAGTAATCCAATCAGAATTTAGATTATGGCGAATGAGCAGGCTGCATAGAATTTCTCGTGGCGTTCCCGAAGTACAACGTAAGACCTTCCACGAAAAGAAAAACGAAAAGCGTTCTTCTCCTTGGCAAATAGCCCTTACATAGTTTATCATATTCTAAATAATTAAATCTAATAGCTAGAAGTCGCATCTGTATCAAATATTCGTGTTTTAACGGTTGTGTAAATTTGGTCACCATAAATACCTAAAATGGCGGTAAAGCCATCGCCTAAACTAACTTGTCTTTAAATTTCCCCCCTTTTATTTTGCTTATCCTTACTTTTCAACAGCCAATTTTCTGAAAATGTCACCATTTTATCTCTTTTGTTATTTACTATCAGAAAGTTTGTAGTAAAGCTTGTAAAAGAATGAGTACAAGACGGGTATATGAAATTTTGCGGATTTCTTCATTTTGTCAGTCGCCTACATAAGAAGATGTGGTATATTGTTTCGCTATATTATAGAGCTCCTTCTCGCTTTAGCGAGTTCAGATTTTCGTGTTTAGAAATTTCATTTCCGAGTCTGTTGACAGAAGGCAACAGTTAATTTAAGTACACTTGTCCATTGCTATTTTTATACAATGATATAACATTATACGATGATAAAAATACACCCTTCAAAATTGTAATGTGTGTGTGTATTTAATTATGGCAAAGCACAGTAGGGCTATCTGGCTAAGGGGAGGGATGCCTTCGTGGAGGACTTTCTAAGGGAAACTGGCTCGTATACACGTTACACGTGGAGAAAACCACGAAAACACCCATGCAGCCAGCCCGTTCGCGGGATTCGAACCTCGGACCGAACTACCAGTGTTCAGTGAGTTTATCGCTCGGCCACTGGTGGGCCTCACAATTTTAATAAAATTTAACTAATGTAATACAAAAAGGTCTTTCACAGCATTGTAATTAGGAAAATGGAAAAAGTTTTGAACTGCACATGAAGTTCATTTATAAAATGTTCGTAACTTTATGAAAATTAGTTGATCGATGCTGCACCCATAATCTTAATATTCAGAGATCATTCCTCATTGGAAAAAGCTTGCCAATGTAAAATTTAAGGTTTGGTAAAGAATAAACCTTAGCTTAGCGTAAGTTTTTCAAGAAATGTAAAAAAAAACAGCGGTTTTTTTTTTTTTTTTTTTTAAAGAGGGACCGTCACTTTTGGCAATTTTTAAAATCTATTTTCACTTTAATTGGCGTCTTTATTTTAGATTAAAAATTTCATAAATATGTTGATCATATTACCCGAACTGTTGCTAGCTTTAAGCGACGTAAGAGTATTTTCCCCGTTATCGAATACAAACGGGAGGGACTTCGGAATTACGAAAACAATATACGAATCATAACATTAAATACGCGTCTTCTGTAGTTTAGCAAAAAACTTGTTTTCCATTTAGCGAGTGAATAAAAGCAAAGACCAAGTAGAGACTTCTAATAAAAATTCAAAGCCTGTTGATGAAGCAATAAAAATCTCCCATCATGGTAATTCAATTAAAATTAATTAATTTCAGCCTTCTCTAATTTCAAAAGTATAGTTTTCAGAATGAAAAATATTGAAGTAAAATCTGTTTATGTTTTCAGAGTCCATGCGATATCAGTTTATCGAATGTTTAGACCATGGACATTTTGTGACACAATATTTAGTTTGTTTCCAAGCAGTAGAAAGTTAAATGAAGCATCTGATGTATTTCACACCTTTTGCAAGAAGGTAAAACCATTTTATTAATTCATAAAATAATCAGTTTAATAATTTTCTTTAACGCAGTTTTTGTAGGGTAACTCTCAAAAGTGCTGGAACACATTAGAGTCTGTTATAAAAATATTATGCGCCTAGGTTAATTTAGAACTTTAGGATATTTTTAATATATTGCTTAAATAATACTTTTATTATGCACAAAATTTCGGGAATTGTAATCGAAATAATAGCTTATGTATTTTTAAATAATTACAAATTATCTAATAATGCCAAAGACATGTTAGTAAATGTCTTAAAACACTTCCAACTGTCGGAGGATTTAAAATACAAAATGCTGCTTCTTCTGTTCCTTTTGTTTTTGCAATAAACCAACAACTTGAATATCGCTTACTTACATTTTAAAATTTAATCTGAAAATAAAAGATTAGTTTTATATCCTTCGTGAATTTGTGACACGACATCATATAAAAATGTTATCTGTCATATAGGAATTTTCGTTTTAGATCATCAGTTTATTCTCCGGTAAAAATCGATTTGAAATCATGGTACCAATTGACCTTGGTCTACGGCACCAAGGTCTAGGGTCTACCAATGATGGTACTATGGTCTAAGGCTGAATGCACAAAATAAGTCTTCTTTGAATTCTAGCATATAAATATAAAACTAATAAACTTGTGTCTACTAAAATCGCGGTATAACTTTAGAAGTTTATGAACATTTCAGAAGAGAATTTGAAAACGTCATCTTAAATATTAGTTATCGCGACCATTTAAATTGCATCAAAACTGCGATCTAAATGTGCAGTTTTTAATGTGCGTCGGTGGGCTACTGAACAATTACACATAATTGATAAAATGTCTATTGTAACATATTTGACAAGAACTGAGGGTAAAACAAGGAAACATATTATTTCTCGAGAAAATGAACTGAAACAAGCGATAGAGATGAAACAGAAAAGCATTCTCTCCAAAAATTTTGAAAGTATTACGTTAATGCTAAACAGGTTGACATACGTACTACAGAGGGTATTTACACTTTTTAAGAACAATTTCTATAAAAATTTTCAACAGAATCTAGGTGGTACTGTAGAGGCATTAGGTTATTTTGAAGCAGGAGACATGAAAAATGAGCGGAATTCGAACATTGGACCTCTCGAAATACGCGCCGAGTGTGCTGACCACTACACCACGAAGGGATGCTAAGAAGGCGGGAGAGATACCTTATAGTAGAACAGATTTGGGAGCTGCAATATAATTAGTGATGTCTTCTCAAATACACTGGTACAGAAACCGTTACATTTATTGACCGAAACACTTATTTAAAGACTGGTTTATTTTTGAAATATCTTATATGAATAAAACGAAAATAGAGTAAAACAAGTAAATATGGTAAAGTAAATTAAGAAAACGATTAACATAAATATTTTTCTTTGAAAACACAAGAATACTCAATGGAAGACTTTTAGTTCTTAACCTCAGGGTATTAGATTCGAAAATGATAATCTTAACTCCATAAACCTTCTTCCATTTAATTTCCAAAAAAAAAAAAAAAAAGCTCCATTGAAACTACTTAAAAATTGAGTTCTTGGATAATTTCGTCTTCTTTCGAACAAAGAATAATTTCCGATTATCTTACCCTGTAGAATGTTTTGCATTGTAAATGCTTGTATTTTTGTAATTGTAGATGTAATACAATTTAACATTATAAACTGGAATTGGCAATGTGAACGTGGAGCGACATAAAATCCGCGATGCTTTTCAAATTGATTAACTTAACACAGATCTAAATTTCGAGTAGCGATTTTCAACCGGTGGTATGCAAGAGAAAAATAGATGATACCGAAAGAAATAAAGTATTCTTAACTATTAAATTCAAAAATTAAATACCCCAACATCCTGTTCAAGTTTCTTTCTCTAACACTCGTAAATTTATGAGACCTCAGCTTTGTTCATTGCCTACAGCCGCTCACAGACAAAAATATCCATTTTCAGAAATATTCCTTTAACCATGGACATAACAAAATTTGTCATAAATGCTAGTTCTAAAAAGAGGATTATAAATGTATGTTGTATTTAATAATGGGAAATAAAAATAAGTTCCTATAAAAAGATAATAGTAGCTCATTAATTCAAAAGTTGATCGATTTATTAGCATATCTCTCAGAGCTGTCCATATGTACTTTATGCGCCACCATTTCCCGGCTCTATTTTCAATTAGAATAAATTTTTAGGTCGATTTGCTGGCTCTAACAGCAGGTATTTTGTCTTTTTCTTGCTTTGTGTTCCTTATGTTTCTACGAGATTTGAGAATATTGTTGTTTGTTTCCGACGAAGTCGTAATAAACTGCGCGTTTAAATAGTTGTGAAAATTTAATTACACAAACTTACATTTTGAAAATGGAAAAATGGCTACGATTGACAAAACAAACCGAAAAAGTGATGATTCATACGTGGTGGATCCATGACAATCTACTAGCACTAAAAATATTTTAAAGAAAAGAAAAATTGTTTATAGGAAATATAGTGCAAGTTATTTATTATTCGGGCTTACTTTGAATGGAGATGAAATGGACCCTCAACCTCAATGTGTTGTTTGGGTCTATTATCCAATCAAAGTATGAAACCATCATTTCCTAAAAGACATCTTGAATCTAAGCATACCAATTTAAAGGATAAATCTGAAAAGTATTTTAAGAAGAAATTATCGGAGTTAAAAAATAGTAAACAAGGAATGAAAGGTTTTGGTACTGTATGTGAAAAGGCTTTGGAAGCTAGTTACGTAGTAAGCCTAAGAATTGACAAGACTAGGCAGCCTCACATTATTGGAGAAATTCTTATATTACCAGTAGCTAAAGATATCGTTTTAACATTATTCAACGATAAAGCGGATAATGAACTCTATAATCTTCCGTTATCAAATGATATAATTCCACAAAAGAGACACTTTATTCAAAAAATAAAAACATAGTGAGTATTTCGCATTGGAATTATGTGAAAGTACTGATATAACGAACTTTGTTCAATTATTAGTTTACATACGGTACGAAGAAGATAAACGAATTGCTGAAGAGTATTTATTTTGTGAATCTCTTCATGATAGAGCAACTGCAAATTAAATTTTCAAATTAATTGACGATTTTATGTCTGAGAATCCTACTCCTTGGAATAAATAAATTGCCGTATGCAGTGACGAAGCTCGGGCTTTAGCAGGAAAACATTCCGTTATTATTTCTCAAATAAAGAAAGTCGCACATAAAACTAAATTTACTCACTTCCCCATTCATCGTGAAGCTTTAGCAGCCAAAACAATCCCCGAAAACCCGAAAATCGTTTTGAATCAAGCTGTGAAAATTGTTAATTTTATTAAATGCCAAGATTCAAATTTAGGAATATTTACGATTTTATGCTAAGAGATGGGCAGTAAACATGAAACGCTTCTGCTACGTTCCGAAGTAATTTGGTTATCCATACGCAAAGTTTTAAATTCTCTTTTTGAACTTCGATCAGAAATAGAGATTTTTCTCCGTGATTCAAAATTTGAATTGCAAAATTGTTTATTTCGTGAATTATGGTTGGCTTGTTTACCATATTTAGCTGATACTTTTGGAAAGTTAAACAAATTTAGGATTAGAATAGCAAAGAGTTAATTTGTTTACCATCAGAGATAAAATAAATGAAATTATAAAAAATAAAAAATAAAATAAAAAAAAAAAACTCCAGCTAATAATCAAAAATTGAATAATAATATTTTAAGATTTTTTACCACTTTTAGAAAGTTTTCTAATCGAAAAATAATTTGAAACTACATTGATAAATACACTGCTGATCATTAAAATTGCAACACCAGGAAGGAATGATCTGACGAATATCAAAATCACATGAAAGGAAGAAGTTAGGATGTGCAAATGGATTAGTATTTCAGCGCATTTAAACGACGCAGGAGGGAGAGAAGTCACCTGACGCACTGCATAAAAGAAAAGTTGTGTAGCGGATTTCTCATTCGGAAAGTGCTTTGTAAGGTTGGAGTTTGCTCAGAATATCGTGTTACGCCTCGAATACGAAGAGGAAATGCTTACCAGAAAGTTTGAAATTCGATAGAGGCAGGATCATTGCCTATCGAAAGTGCAGATTATCGTTCCGTGATATCGCCGGTCGCGCTGGTCGTCATCCTACCACTTTCATGCGAATAAGGAAACAATGGATTTCTGAGAGTCATACGGAACGGCATGCATGATCTCAACGCCCACCCATCATTAACGCCAGATAACATATTGTGAGGTCAGCCCTGCAAAACCGTTCGACCACATCACGGACCATTAGTCAGGAAATGGGCATGTTTGCACCAAGCTCCGTATCATCTCGTAAGGTGCGTCGACATTTTCAGTAGGGTGACCACCAGGGTGACCATTACTTCAGCTTACCTTGACAATGCAGCATTAAGAGAAACGGTGACTCTGGTGCGCCAGATGACAAAGCTGGGTAAAGGAGTGGCACAATGACGCTCTTTTAAACGAGTCTCGGTTCTACGTGTCGGTTCTGATTGGCCGTATACGTGTCTGGAGTGTTCGAGTAGACCACTCGTCGCCTGCTTGCATTTGATATCGGTATAGGGGCTCTGCACCTCGTGTGATGGGTTGGGCATCCATTGGGTACACGACACGCACATCTCTAGTTCGGATCGCCGGTAATGTGAACGCAGATGGGTACATTTCTGACAATTTACGTCCAGTGGTTGTGCCCTATCTTCGAGGCCTGCCAAACGCTATGTTCCAACAAGATAATGCAAGACCACATGTTTCACGTCGTGTCCTGACCTTCCTCTATATACAGGGTATTCGATTGCTGCTCAGTCATGTGCTGTCTCTAGATCTGTCACCCATTACAAAAATCTGGTCACGGGTTGCAGAGACTGGCCCGCCATGTCTCTCCAGCTAATACGGTTGATGAAGTGTAGCATAGACATGAAGCAGCATGGAATGAGTTGACAAATTCTGTCATCCAAGCTTAGTTTAACTCCATGCCTAATGGGGTAAGGGCCGTTTTAGTTGCCAGAGGTGGCAGCTGTTTCTATTACTTTCGCAGCCCTAGAAACCTCCAAAATGTTTACAAATTTAATCATTTTGTTTTCATGCCATACTGTTTACATACAACAAATATCTTTTTTGCATCTGCTTCCCTTCGTGGTGTTGCAATTTTAATGGCGAGCAATGTAATTTCAACATTTATATTTTCCCGAGGATTATGGAAAAGAAAATTGTTTGAAAAAAAAACCTAGAAATTCATTTTGTTCAAATAAACCTAGAATTTTATTCCTGAAGATAAATACTAATTGATAGGAATAATATTTATATATAATCGTAACATAATATTTATTATAATTACAGATAATCAGAGAGAAGATGGATTCCCTTTCGGATGACAAAGCAAACGCTAATGAAACGGATCAAGATAACGACATTTTAAGAAAGAAACAACGTACATTCTTAGAACATCTGTTGGCCTACCATATGAATAACCCAGAATTCACGTTAGAGGATGTTCAAAATGAGGTGTATACCGCCATTACCGCAGTAAGTAAATCATTTAAAATAAATTTTACTAAAACAAAATGCAAATGTGAGAAGTTACAAACAAAATTCAACAGCGAAATGAATTTCATTAAACGATATGCATTCAGTTAAAGAAAACCTTTTTTCAGAAATTCATTTATTAATATAGCTAAGAAAAAGTGCAGACAATTTACCAATTTCTTTGCACAGTTATCAGAGAGTTTATCATTAATTTAATAAAAGTTGCTACAAAAACTCTCAGTTACCAGGCATAAGAACACGGATTCATCTTTAACTCAAAACACTTGGTGTATCTGAGAGCACTGGCACTTCTTGAGACTTGGAAGCTGGAATAGACACATTTTCTAATAAAAAAGATAGAAAACTATTAGATCTAAATTAAAACCAATGTTAGAATTTTGAAAAGAACACCTAATTCAACTGTACTATTACCATCCAAGCTACACCTCCATTATGATTTAGGTGCAGCCTATTATGTAAAAGAGCAGTTTGGTGGTGAAAATAATTTTTAGATTAAAAACTATGTTTTAGCTAGCTGTTTTTCGAAGAAATTATGTGGAATTTTATTATATTTGAACTAATAAATTATTATCTTTTGTAAAATCATTGCTAGTATAACAAATATTTTTATTCTTTTTGTTTTATTAACAATACTGCTAACAATAATAACTTTTCTGGGATATTAAAATCCTAATTAATTCGTTTGATTGTTTTGAAACCGAAACATCTTGTTTTGTCAAAAAAATAACATTGTTGAGATTGTAAATTTGTAGGTCAACGTAATTTGATTAGTTTTCGTTGTTAGTTTTATTAAGCATAAAGCATTTAGGACAGAAATCTTGATTTTCAATTTAATTTATTAATGACAATGATGCCATCAATGAACCTTCAAGTATATTTAAAAGGTTCAGATTTATGGTAATTGTTAATAAACTGATATTCTTTAACGAAGGTAAATTATCTTTAACGGTAAATTATCTGCACAGGCTACTGATGGCAGTTCAATAGATGGTTTCCATAGGAATACCGATAATTTTCAGAAAACTTTTATTTTGATATTTAATGAAATTGTGAAAACATATACAATTAAAACAAGAGTAACATTTACTAAAATTAATTAAGTTCATAATGCCAATTTATCGATAATCTTGGCACAGTTTAAAACATCAGAGCAGTCATAATAAGCAAGTATCGTTTTGTTCGGTAAGAGGATTTGATTGTATCTCTTTTAATTCTTTTATGTCTATTTTAGGGTCACGAAACCGTATCCTCAGCTTTGAATTGGGCTGTATATATGTTTGGTGTCTCGCCTCACTTTCAAGAAAAAGTTGTCCAAGAACTGAATTGCATATTTGGGGATGATTACTATAGAGATGTTACGTATGAAGACCTTAAAAATATGACATATCTGGAAAGCTTCATTAAGGTAAATTTGAGCAAAATATTTGGATTATATATTAGAAGAGTTTTTTGTGATTTGAGAGCTGTTTTATTTCAACGTAATATTCCTTATTTAGTTTCCACTTTTCTCACTTGAAGCAACTATCACATATAATAATTCATTTCCTTCTCAATTAAAGGCAATGGAATACGCTTGCAATATCATTTTTACAACCTCTATTTATAGTACTAGAATACTAATTATATTGATGGTTTGCCCTTTATATGTTTGCGCCGTGGAACCTTGAGTAATGCATTATATGATTCTATTATTACACATCGCTGCTATGCTGAGTAGCTGTACAACTTTTACTCAGATTTGTATAGAGAGATATCAATTTTTTCTTACATGAAAAAGAAATAACCACTTTAATTCAGCTCTCAACTCACTGCTCATATCCACTAAGCCTCTGACACTGCAGCTAAGGAAGAGGTTAAAAAATCTGATGTGGACACCACATGACTTCCTTGTACGGCCTATTAATTTATACCCATTTTTTGCTACATTTCCTCTCAACTCATTTCCTCGGATTTTATTAGAGATACATTTCTCATTCAACTAATGCAGTCCTCATTTCGCGGCAAGACAAAAATACATAAAAACTCAAAACGACTTCATTAAAAATTGTAAAATACAGAAAAACATAAAACAGCAAATACAGTTAAAAAAGCTTAAAAAATTGTAATTAAAACTTCTAAAAAAGAGAAAAAGGCAATTCGTCCAGCGGGTTGTGAGAGCGATTTTTCAGTGCACAAAAGTAAAAGCTGACTTTTCATCCCAAACGGCCAAAAGACACACAAACTGGTGCACAGACTGACTTTATTCATTATTCCACTAAGAGTTTCAAATATAAACAAATGACCGCCTCGTTAGGCCTAGAGCCACTTTTAAATTGTTGATAATTCTACAGCTACTGCTTGAAGATTAACTAAAGGCATAAAATCCTTTACCGGAACAGCACAACAACATAATTTAATCACATTTAAAGCAAAAAAATCCACAATTTACCAACATATAAGTATATAAACCAGAGCTCCCTGAGCCGGATTACAGAGCGGGAATATGTATACATATGTGTATATGTATTTATATACATATCTTGAGCGGTCAATTACGATGACAAATTGAGGCGCATAACTAAATGTCATAGTTATGCGCAAATGGAACCTATACAAAAGTCCAATGTTCTACGGCTACTGGTTTTTGAGTTGTGCAAGATACATATCTATGTACGCATGTACAGACGTCACAAAATATCTCTTCCGAATCCATTTTAAATCCATTTTTCAATCCGTTTTGGAAGAAGAATTCTTTAATCTGTCCGCACGCGCAGATGCCATGCAAAAACATCTTTGAAATGGATTCGAGAGCTGTCAAACTTAATATTTATATTGAAATATGATAAAGAAAAATTTTCGCTATAAACAGGATTCGAATTACAACAGAAATGGCCAAAGATGTGAAAATTTAGTTTTGAAATTGTAGCGAAATTGTAGCAAAGCACAGGATGACTATCTTTTTAAAGAGGAAATCTTTAGGGTTGAACTTCTAAAGAAAACTCCCATCTATGTTATATTACACATGCGCAAAAGACTTAATTATTATGAGTCTGACATGTTGTGTTTACAAATTGGAATTGTTATTAATAATACATTCAGATCAAAAGCATTTGTCTTAATGTTTTGTTTCTTTAATCTGTCCGCACGCGCAGATGCCATGCAAAAACATCTTTGAAATGGATTCGAGAGCTGTCAAACTTAATATTTATATTGAAATATGATAAAGAAAATTTTTCGCTATAAACAGGGATTCGAATTACAACAGAAATGGCCAAAGATGTGAAAATTTAGTTTTGAAATTGTAGCGAAATTGTAGCAAAGCACAGGATGACTATCTTTTTAAAGAGGAAATCTTTAGGGTTGAACTTCTAAAGAAAACTCCCATCTATGTATATTACACATGCGCAAAAAGACTTAATTATTATGAGTCTGACATGTTGTGTTTACAAATTGGAATTGTTATTAATAATACATTCAGATCAAAAGCATTTGTCTTAATGTTTTGTTTCTTTAATCTGTCCGCACGCGCAGATGCCATGCAAAAACATCTTTGAAATGGATTCGAGAGCTGTCAAACTTAATATTTATATTGAAATATGATAAAGAAAAATTTTCGCTATAAACAGGAATTCGAATTACAACAGAAATGGCCAAAGATGTGAAAATTTAGTTTTGAAATTGTAGCGAAATTGTAGCAAAGCACAGGATGACTATCTTTTTAAAGAGGAAATCTTTAGGGTTGAACTTCTAAAGAAAACTCCCATCTATGTATATTACACATGCGCAAAAAGACTTAATTATTATGAGCCTGACCTGTTGTGTTTACAAATTGGAATTGTTATTAATAATACATTCAGATCAAAAGCATTTGTCTTAATGTTTTGTTTCTTTAATCTGTCCGCACGCGCAGATGCCATGCAAAAACATCTTTGAAATGGATTCGAGAGCTGTCAAACTTAATATTTATATTGAAATATGATAAAGAAAATTTTTCGCTATAAACAGGAATTCGAATTACAACAGAAATGGCCAAAGATGTGAAAATTTAGTTTTGAAATTGTAGCGAAATTGTAGCAAAGCACAGGATGACTATCTTTTTTAATGAGGGAATCTTTAGGGTTGAACTTCTAAAGAAAACTCCCATCTATGTATATTACACATGCGCAAAAAGACTTAATTATTATGAGCCTGACATGTTGTGTTTACAAATTGGAATTGTTATTAATAATACATTCAGATCAAAAGCATTTGTCGCGACAAAAAAAAAAAAAAAAAAAAAAAAAAAAAAAAAAGTTGTCTTATGTATTATAAGGCATTTTCTCCTTCCTTTCCGCATACCTTCGTGGTGTAATTGGAGGCATACTCGACGTGTATTCGAGAGGTTCAGGGTTCGAGTCCTAGAGGGGACACAGCAGATTTTCTACGTCTCCTGCTTCAAAAAGACCTAATGGCGAAAACATGGAGCGCGTGAGTTTTTACAGAATCGGGAAGAAATCAAAAGAACTATTTTCCACACGTTGCAAATATAATGAAAGGCAAGAAGACATAAATTCTGAAATTTATTCGATCCAATAGCGTTGAATACTTTCTGCCAAATCTTTATTTGTGCAGCAGCAGAATTGGTTAATCCTTCTGTCAAATCATTACCTTTCTAGTTTTTTAAAAGTTTGTTTGTTTTACAGCAATGCTTTTCTAACCCTTTTCATGTCATGGCGCCCCTCACAAGCGTATATAATATTACGACACAATGTAAAACGACCGTTTTACTTCCTTGCGAGAAGTAAAGGAAGTATTTTAATGGCAAAAACTTTCGGTTACCATGTACAAACAAAAATATCCATTTTAACGTTGTCGAAACCATTTTTACTATGCTTTTGAATGATATCTGAACGTATAGGCAGAATAAAGGACGCCTTATTTAAATTTTATTGAAAACTAGATTTGAAAGGGATTCAGAAGTAATTTTTTCGTACACATATACGTATGTATATCATATAACTCAAAAACGAATAGCCGAAAAATGCTGAAATCTTGTAGATGAAATTGGTTAAAATCTAGTTGACTCCTTTTTTTAACTGCAACCTTCCTCACCCAAAGGTACCATGTATATGGTGGCACTGGGAGCTTTAAGCCAACATAACAAGCGCTCAGCATTGTAGTCCAGCCATGACGTCATTCTTTCTATTACGCGCTCGCAAGCTCCCAAGACAATAAATCAGAGTAATATATATTGTTTGATTGTATTTAGAGTTATTAGGAATGCATTCTTAGATCTGGCAACGGGAATAAAATATTAAAAAAAAAGAGCGCAGTTTAGACATAGACGGTTGATCTATGCAGAAGCAGAGACGACTGTTCTGTTAGAGACTAAGGTGTTCTTGACGAATAATTACTTTTTGTTGTAAATGTTAAATTTCTTAAATGTTATCAGTGTTTATTCGTCTTCATTAAAGTATCTTTCATTACTTAAGTTAGTTCGTATTGAGTTTTCTAAGCCATTTGACAGCTCATATATATATATTGCCACTCTGTAACCTGGCTGGGTAAGTCCAGTTTGTTTATTCTTATGTGTTGGAAATTGTGCACTTTTGTTTCCTACAAAAGTGATTGAATTATGTTGTTCTTAGTTATATTACTCTATTTGGTGTTTTAGGTTTTTCTGTACTTTACAGTTTTTAATAAACACTGATTTTTTTATGCATTTTTTATGCATTTTTTTCCTTGCCGCGAAGTGAGAAATGAATTGATTGAATTAGAAATATATTTCTAATGAAATTCGAGGAATTAATATTAAATGAAGTGCAATTAAAAATATGCATAATGTAATAGGTCGTACTAGGAAGTCATGTCATACCCCATCAGATATTTTATTAAAGTGGTTAATTTCTTTTCTTTCATAGTAGATATTAAATTAAAAAGGTCTTTGTGCCAAACAGTGCTATTTTATAATGCATAAACATTCCAGCTAGATTTAAGTTTTAGAGAAATCTTCTTATGCAGTCATAAATATGAAATAAATTAAGCAAATGGAATGGAAATTCCTTATCCATACTCCCTTAGTGTATGAGATTTCACATAATTTTTATATCGCATCTGTGATTGAAATGAGCTAAATTATTAAATCTGACTGAATAAAACTTTGATTTGATTCCTACTATTGCAGTCGTGGGATCAGTACTTAAATTGACATATTTTTCCATGAAATATAGTTCATATCAAACTATTCACTGAGCAGATTTAGACCAAACCTCCAGTACCGTCGCCCCATAGTTAGCACTTTGCGGTTACTATTTCGCGGCTCATTGGTAGGGAAGGGCTAGTTTTCAATGATTTTAGCAAGTGGAGCTCTCCCAATAATAAACAGTCTGCAAATGAAAATAATTAGAAATTAATTATTAATTTGAATGCAAAATTATTAATTTGAATTATTAATTTGAAGCTTCTTCATGAAATATAAACAAAGTCTTTGAGTTTTTTGAATATATATATGTAAATATTTGCTCGTCTTTTACCAGCGTACCGAATTATTTTTCAGGAAGTTCTGAGACTTTATCCTCCAGTACCTATCTTTCCACTGAAATTTAAAGAAAATAAGGAAATAGGTGGGTATTTAGTTCATTGTTTGATAATATTATTAATTAATTGTACGAAGTAAAGAAAGTATTGTAATCGAGGAAACTTTCTGTTGTCAGATTTCAACTTGAATATCTATTTTGACGCATCCCAAATCCATTTTGATTACTTTTTATGTAGTGTATGAATGTATGGGCAGATTCATAAACATATTGTAAAATGGATTCAAAGGAGAATTTTTTGAGATATCTGTACGTACGTTAGTACGTATGTATCTAGAATAACTACAAAATGATTAGCCGTAGAACGATGAAATTTTGCATATGGGTCTTTTATGGCATCTAGCTGTGGTACCTCCCATCTTTATTCCAATCGGTAATATACCAATATATATATATATTTAAATAATATTGTAGATTAGTTCGCAGCAATAATTAATCATTTATTTGTAATTCAATTTCATTTAAAATTTAATTTAAATTTGCTTTTTACTACACACCCTTTAGTAGATCTAGAAAAGCAAAGAGTTTCTTATGGAAGAGTATTGTAATTGATTTCGATGTATTCTACTCATGAACTCATGACGACATTATATCGGAGTTAATTGAATTCCTCTTTATTTATGTTCTATTTTGATTTTTCTTCTTTTAGTTTATTTTTGTTTTTTTTTAACATTTAAAAAATTCTAATTGTACATATATAAGATTTTTTTTTAATTTGTTTATTTATTTGCTTGTTTATTTGAATTTCAATTTTTGGTCTTTATGAAAAACTGGTTCTAAATTTTTTCTTTATATATATATTTCTTTATATATATATATATATAATTTATTTCCTAAACAGTATTGATTAATTGATTTATATTATCTCCTAAGTTTAATTAAAGTCGAATTATTTTAAAAGAGTGAATCCATATTGGTAAGTTATATATTGAAAGATGTTTTGAAGTAATTTGAAAGCAAAATGTTATATATATATATATATATAAATATATATGAATTATTTGACGACTTAACCGTACGTAAATAAAAGCACTATTAAAAAAAATCTGTTGTGGATAACACATAATTTGACCTATTGAATTAACGTTTTGCAGGTCGATCTATTCAAACACAGTAAACCGATCCTTCAAGGAAAATTGGAAATGACATTAAATATTGCAAAATTTGAAATTAAATATTCCGGTCAATTTTTGTCATACGGGTTTCAAACTTCTTATGATTTTATCATTTTCTTAACGAGCATAAAAGTTTCCCGGGAGAAGGCATTAAAAATTGGATTTCGTTATTTGTTCAAAATGATTTTTTAAAATTTGACATAAATATTACTTTATTTAAAACACTTTGTAATTGGAAGTATATGACTACAACCAACCATTGCGAAAATAAAGGCCTGATAGGGATTTTTAAGCCTTCTAAGATATATATATATATCTCAGTATAGATTAACCTCAGAAGCAACCGAATGTAGGTAAAATTGAGTAGCCTTCAATTAGGCATTTAAAACTCTTATAATTGTAGTAGTTCAATTAATTGTTTAAAATCTCAGGATTTCATTTGAAATGCATTTCTCTTTTCAGGCAACTATATTATTCCAAAAGATGTCACATGCGTAATATTTCCATACATGCTGCACAGAAATCCTGAAAGTTTTCCAAATCCAGAGGTTTTTGATCCAGAAAGATTTTCTCCTGAGAATTGTAGTACAAGACATCCGTATTCTTATCTTCCTTTTTCTATGGGTGAAAGAAACTGCATAGGTAAATTTTAATTACTGTTGCTGATTCTTAATTTTATGTAGAGTCGAAAGAGCATATTTAACAAAATACATATCATAGAGAAAAACAATATTTCTGTAAATTATTTTTTACGTAGTGCCTTCATTTTACGATACAGTTTTCCCAACGTTTTAATAGTTTCCCATTCTGTTCTCGGTGAATGAAGCCAGACTGATATCTAACTACTTTCTCGCAAATTATTTCATTAAAAGGTTCAAAACATGGGAAACTCCAGCACCCCAATAATTGTGGGTAATACATTCCACGGCAGAGAACTGAATTTGGCTCACAAGGAGGTTTTATGTAAGCCAAACGCACTCTTCTCCATTTTCGCGTCCACTCCGTTTCTGTCCGCTCTTCTTCCACTTCATATTTTGCATGCTTTAATTCTGGGATGTAATGATGCACTCGTCATATCAAAAGTTAGGATTTTATACAAGGAAGCCCTCTCTACTTCAGAACGAGTTTCAAGCAATTAAAAAATACGAGCTAAATGTAAGTAAGTATTTTTTGCAAAACATTTACGGTCTCATGCTTCACCACACCATCATTCTTCACCACGAATTGTAACTTTCCCTAACTGGGTTTTCAATCTCCAGAAAATTTTTCCTGCTTTCAAATTTTCGAGGATAAGGAACTGTATTACTATGTGACGCTCAATAAACATGGGCAAATTCTTACGGGATAATCTGGCCAATTTGGTTTCCTTACGTTAAGTAACCCAACCTCACAGCCCCAGTTGCCCAATCACACAAAAGTACCCTTTTTGACGCTCATCCAATAAGGCTCCTTCATATTTGATCGCCCAGATATTTAAATTTCTTTAAGCATATGTTCGGATGCATGATGCATAAGTTCACATCGGTATCGCAATAGAAAGAGGCACTTTAACAATTACCAAGTTTTCTCCAATAGTACTTTCTGCTACTTTAAATTTAGCAGAGTTTGCCGCACTTAAAGCAATCACTTTGAAAATACTTTATCATTGAATTTCCTCTACAACTTACTATTAGTATTATATGAAATATGATATGTTCCTTGTGAAAAAAGTAAATCAAATTTATATGAAGCTTTTACCATATAGTTTAAAGAATTTGAAAAATAAAATACAAATACAATTGAGTACTGCGAAATACAAGATTAAAAAAAGCTGTCAAAGATTCAGCTGTATAAGAGTAGTACTTCGATCTTCATTACCCGAAACTAGAGGTGGATAAAGCCGCACTTTTAAGGGATCAGATCGGAGCCTTTCGTTCACTGGAGTGAATCAGTTCTTTTTAACGATTCACCGCTTACTAGCAATAACCTTAATGAATGCGTTCGGAACAGGCATGGATAACGAACGGTGTGCAAAGATGAACTGGTTGGTATGAACTGAACTTACAAGTATTTGGCGGTCTTGACCACTGGTCTGAAAACTGGTGAAACGAGAAGCTAGACTCCGCGCTGTAACATGATGTAACTAGCCAATTAAATTAGAGTTCTCGGTGACATCAGATTGTTGGCGTTGTCTTCTGTTACGTGATGCGATGGTCCTTTCGCGTTTTTAAATATTGACTATCTGACAGTTCTATGTTTTGGTAGTGATTGAATGAGTATGCCATATCTTCGGAAGAGCATGTGCTTTGCATGTACTGCGAAAAAAGTTTGAAAAATAGGGTAGAACCACGGAGTATGAACTTTAATACTCCGTGGGTGCAACTTAGAAAACATTTGCGCAACGTGCAGAAATTTCGAAGTGAGCTGAATCACATTAAATGCGAAGAAGGTTGTTTGAAAGCTTCTCTACATTAATGAATTATTGAGAGCATTTAGAGAATCTGCATAAGTATGAAAATATAAGCTTAGATTTGTCATTCCTATCAAAACAAGGTTTGTTAATCCGTACCGTACATTTATTTGAATGCACAATAGAAGCATTACTTTAATTTGTTTTCTCATTTTAAGGAAAATAAAATTACTGAAAAAACGCCATGGAGAAAAAGCAGAAAGAATTAAACAAGGAATGGGATCCCTGGAATTAACAAAACCGCTCACTCCCTGGACTGATTACTTTCAACTGTACTTTTGAGATTACCTAAAAACCTTTTTACATAGAATAACAACAAAATTCTGGAATCAAAAAATACTGAAAGTTAAAAAATAATGAAAACTGAATTCACTTTTGTTAAAGATTACCTTATTTTATTACTATAATTGATATTTTGTTACTACTACAAAACACAGTCTAAAAATACATTTTTAGATTGGAGGCAGATCTCAAAGAACAGGAAATTGTCAGCTGACAACGCCGGAATTTTCCTTTTTTTTATCTGATGTGACAAAATATCGCTCGAGTTTCATATATTCAGTAGGATCCACATTTTGTTCTGCAACATTGAAAAATGCATTAGATGGAAAATTTTATGTTTATAAATAGTTACTAATTCTAAAGAAGATTAAAGAGAGTCCGCAGCTCTTAATTATAAGAATTTAGTAAAATAAGTAAATAAATAAAAATATAATTTATTATTTTACATAAATATATCAGTAATCTTGTTTAAAAAAGGAAATACCTAATATACAAAGCTATACTATAACGCAGTATTCTAAGAATCGAAAAAATTCTCAAAGGAACAGCTCCGAGGAAGCGAAAACAACAATTTATCAAGACTCTGCAGGAGCCATATTGGAAACAGCGAATAATGAAGACTCGATCTGAATGAGATCCGAAATTAGAGCAGGAGGAATGAAAGTGCGAATAACCAGGATTCCGAAGGACCCAGATCTTCAATTACTATATGAGCGCCTGAACGCTGACAGCTTGGAATCAGAGAAACTAGTTCGTATAATCTACATATTTTAAACAGATCCTCGCGCTGCTAGATGGGGGAAAATTACATCCATTAACGAACAAATTTGATTATTTTCGCTGAAATGCGTCGGTTTATTTAATGTTTTGTTTCTTATATACTATATGGAACACAAGCAAGCCAAAAGCAAACATGTATACACACATAATACACGTACACACATAAAAAATAGCCCAAGACGTTTCTGGTATATAGTAAAGGAAAGACTGCTATTCTTTACATTAAGAGGAATCAAGGTTTTGGTACGCTTCATAACAAAAGTTCTCGGTGAACTGTTACAAAAAAAATTCCCGTTCCATTTTCACCGGAGCGTTTATCATTTGTTCTCCAAAGTGAATTAATTTTTTGAATCGGTTCCGGAGCGGATCGTTCATCTCTACTCGAAACCCCTCCTTTGGTTGCGATACAACTGTGCAATTCAGAATTATACCATCAGGGAACCCACACATTAACGGAACGGGAGCACTGCAAGTGACCCATTTGTAATTATGGACATGCTGATTTATATCTGCTCCTGCATGCAGCGGTCTATTTTTTGGGGAATGCCCGACTGCAAACAGCAAAGAGTATGTGTGAAATTTTGTCGTTTTTTTGTGATTAATGACACTTGTCTAACCTCCTCTGAACGTGCCCATGAAATTCATTATGGCAACTAGTACACGATTACGCTTGTCGTTGGAAAGAGCCTTGGGCATTGGTGACAGCTCGATTTTGCCCAGTTTCACTCCATTTTTGAGGTAACGCATATCAGGAGTGGTTCCGAGGGTCTCCCACTCCTACCACCAAAACACAAGAGAGTACTTTCGGCTCGCTATATATTTAGAGTGTCCCCATGCCACAAATATACTATACATTTACAAACATCCATGTCTTCTCCAGAATTCGAACCCGCTCCCTTCGGTACGGTAATTAGAGTCGCTAACCATTACCCTATTTGGGTGGCATATTTCTTTCTTGTTGAAAAAATCGTTGTACATGGTCAGACCTTATTTTACTGTTGTTGGAGCTGAAATTACAGATGCAGAATATTCAACAACGTTATATCTGTTGTGAGCTTAATGACTCTAAACTTTGGACTTAGTTAGATTATGAACTTGCTTTTATTCACGTTACGTAGGACAACACAAAGAAAACATTTCTTGTAGATAGCACTTCTTCATCTCTGTTCCTGGTTTCAAATAATTGATGCTTTTTTGATGCAGCAGAATAAAAAGAAAACTGTTGAGGAATTAATATATTGTAAGGAACTTAAGTTTACTACGTTTTTTTATTTAATCTTACTATCACTTCTTATTTTCTACTTCCGCCAGAATTAAAAAGCTTAATAATTTATGCAAATTTGTCTTGCGAACGCCAAGTACTTAAGTTGTTGGCATTTTGCAAAGCAGAAGAGTGTGTGGTGTGTGTGGTGAATATGGCAAAGCCTCGAGCGCTATCTGCCTAAGAGGGAGGGATGCCTCGTGGAGGACTTTTCTAAGGGAACTGGCTCGTATACACGTTACACATGGGAAAACCACGAAACGCCTGCAGCCGCCCGTTCGCGGGATTCGAACCTCGGACCGAAACTACCAGTGTTCAGCACTTTACCGCTCGGCCGCTGGTGGCCCCAAAGCAAGAGAGAGGAAGGAGCTATTAAAGCCAGGCCGCTAAGCCATAGCATTTTTTACTCGGTGCTGGTTCCTTCAGGCCAGAGGTTTAATCCTCTTGATAATTTTAAACGTATCGTAGTGTTACAATTCTCGGTACTACATACGGCCTTTCTGTTAATTACGGCCAATCTTCAAGTGGACCTTTGTTATTAATCCAAAGTAGTTTAGTAGAATTTTAATATTTTATATTCTTACGTTCGACCACAAGTGGTGGTCTCTGTATTCCGGAGTCCGGAAATCATGTAAAGAGAGAAAAATAAGGGTTTCGATACCCTTCCTGGTATTTGTCTACTTCCCACATTTATGAACATAGCTTTAGTAAGCTCCCTGTTCCGAGTCAGGTCATTTAATGTTCCAAAGCAAGTAAGGAGAAACACTGAACCTGATAGTGGCGCCCGACGAAGAAAATAAACCATGGCCGAGTTTCAAGAGAAACCTGTGCGCCTGGAGAAACGGCTCAGAATCCAGAAATACCAGCTGC